ATTTAAGAATGTTTGATTTGTAGAAAAGGCAACGTAACATTTCTGCATCTGAAAAAATGTTTTAGGCTGCAGCTATTTGTGCTAGCTGTAGTGTTCGATCCTGTGGTGTGTCACTTCTAACGTTGCTGTGATTTAGGAGCAAAGTCCATACGTTAAGTTCCCCATCTTAACCTGAGCTGCATTATGACGTTTTCAAATACGTACTATATTCAGTTTTTCAGTACTGGCTGTAGTTTGGAGCTTTTGTTTGAGTTCTTCATTACCATTCGTACCTTTATCTGACAGATAATAGCCTCACTGCTTTCTGATCCGCCCTCCATTGCTGTACTATCAGAACTGTCATGAAGTCTGCTGCTGTGCTAACAACTGGTAATTCAAACTGAGGACTTTGTCCTGCTGCTTCATGGTAAAAGCTTTCCACTGGTATCCAAACCACCCCGTTTTCTTTCATCCTCTGCAGTTACAAACAAAACAATCCCTTATTATTGTCCCTTCACGTCTTATTTTCTCATTGTTTTTATTTTTCACTTGTTCCTTTTGATTTATTTTATTTGCTTGAATTTGTTTTTATATTTCACTGCTGTTGTGTGCAACTTTTTTCTAACCCATTAAATAAATCCCAGATGCTGAACAATGAAGACTGAACTAACTGAACTAGTAAACCACTAAAAGGTTATTATTGTCAGGCAACTATAATAATTATTGATGTAAGCATTGAAGTTAGCGACTAATTGCTCACTCCTTGTTTGATTGAAAATTGGCCTATATTGAGATTTGCATATTGTCAGCAGTCTACAGTATTTCAAGGTAGTAAGGGTAAAGAAGCATGCACAGTGAACTGGGTACAATATGCCATACCATGAAGTGTACAATTCCTTTGTTGTAGAAAAGCACCTTTCCTGTGTCATTCCTTCTGATCCCAGCTGCTTACAGCACAGTGTGGTGCAGGTGTCCCAATTAAAATGTGGGAAATCTTTTGTGTCTCATTTGAGCTGATGGCTTTATGTTCAGACTCTCTAGTATTAATGCTAAGCCTGTCCTAAAGAACTTTTACTTATTTGCACACACTTAAGTACAAGGTCATTTTGTCAGAGTTGAATACATATTTAAGAATGAAGAGATATTTGGACTTCAAGCACTCCCTTATCCCCTAACAGTACAGTTAACAGTACAGGACATAAATCAAACCAAGACAGTTGAATTAGCAGCATCCCTGCGTCCCTGAAAAATTCATGTATCATCAACAAAGCAAATAGTCTGGTCATGAAGTGCTGTTCATAGGTTTTTCTGACCAACTATACACTTAACTGTGCAGTTTCTCTGTGTGCACTAATACATCATCTTAAGATGATTGTGATCCAGACCAGGAAAAAGAGTGTCTAGAGAATGGATTAACAGATTTATTACAGTATTCTTGTTGTCTGTCAGAGGCATTAGTTTCTACAATATCAAGAAACAAGAATTAGACTTAAATTAAAAGTTATGACATTTTTGTATTTATTTTACTTCAGGGAGTTTACTTTATTTGCAACCAATTATTTTTTACTTAATATCAAAATAAAATACCTAATAAAATAACAAAATGCTGTTGTTTTGTAGTTAATTTTTTGCAGTCAGCCCTACACATTGGATTTCCCTTGGCTGCTTTACAGTAAATGCCACCTTGTGTTTCACCGGTTGAATGCTTTTAATGTGAAGCAGCAGCAGTAGGATGTTACATAGTAACTCTGACACGATGTAAAGGGAGTGAACAGTTAACAGTGAAGTTGTTATCTGTGAGATAAAATTGTGCTAGATTACGTGTATGTATTGTTTTATTCTCAATCTATTGTGTTTTAGTAGGCAGTCTGAATCCAGTGTGCATATGGCGGACTCCACCACTACCAATAGAGACTACTGTATAGAGAGATAATTACAGAATGTAAATTTAATGGCTATTGCAGAAAGTGCTGACCATAAATAGTATAAAAAATGGGGGTTGATTTCAAGTCTGAGGCTATAATTTAAATGTGATATGGTTTAATAGATCAGTACTTTCCTTGTCAAATATATGAGGTGCAAATTTGTCTGACACTATCTTGGCTGGTGCCAGGATGTGCCCAAAGACAGCATTTAAGTTTAGGGAGAACATACCTGCTGACTCAAATGCCTGTATTGATTGGAAATGTCGTCCATGTAGCATCTTTTTTGCCCACAGTGACAAATACTGATCACATCTTTGCTTTGACTGCAAGCTTTTCACAACTAATTTACACAGTGTTGGAAATTTACTTAAATTTGCACTTATTTTGGGAAACAGCCGTGGGTTAGACCTTAACCAAGGGATTTTGCTTTTATAGCTCCTTTATGTCCTTCGACTATCTTAAGATTCTGCTGCTTTGATATGGAAGTTTGTGCAGAGTAATGTGTAGTGTTGCATATCATTTATTTTTCCATTCTACTACTTCAACAGCTTTAATTTCTTCTTTTTTTTGTAAATTTGTTTACAAAAAAGATTATGTGTGAATGATGTCAGTCAAAATATTGTGTCTGCTTGTCTGTATGTTGTTACCCTGAAAACATAAGGTCTCTCCAGCCCTAGTTTGTAACCCACTCACTAGATATTCAGTCAGGATCACCAGTGTTACCATTACAATAGTATTGGACGATGAACACACAGGAGCCTCAGCTGCTGGTTGAGTAAACAGCTGGTCATTAGTGTTGACTTAAATAACAGGTACAGTAGCATTAAAACACTCCAGAGAGCCACCAGATTGCCCATCATCTGCGGTTACCAAGACAACATAATCTCACAAGATGACAGTCACATGATTTTTATATCGCGCCATGTCATCAGGATTTGATGTAACATTAGTCTTTGTTACAAAAGGTGTCATTGTGGTAGAGGGCCATTTCAGGTTAGTAATGAGACATCTTAACAGGTTAACTGGTGTTTCACCTGTGAAGATAGGTGGGCTTCTACACAAACATTCTCCTTCCTCTTTTCTTCATCCGTCTGTGGATACTGCAAAAACTCCAGACTGCCTCACAATTGTCTCACACTATTACCTTTCGCAACAGTTATTACTCTGTCATCATACGTAAGCAGACAAAGTCAGTCTAGTTGACTGTTTTGTTGAATGTGTTTCACCCTCCCTTTACCTCCAGCTTATCTGTTCACCTTGTCTGTCCATCTGCTCTCACTGCAGCCATTACATTCATGTGTGCCAGGTCTACTCTCAACCCTTCCCTCTGAGCCCCAGGGCTCATTTAGAGCATCTCTGTCACAGTCAGAGAGGCAGGGTGACATTGTTTCCATTCAAATGAGACATGTGAGATTTCCACCACTTCCAGGTTTCCTCCACTTGGATGATAAACACCAGTGACAGTCTTGATCACCACATTGACTATCTGTCACATCGGCCGTCTACTGCTGCTTTGTGGAGCTGTCTCTTCACAAGCTCGCAAGATAACAAGCTTATTACACCCAGGCCTGTTACACTATATACAACTACAATAAAACCTCAATGTGTATATATTTCAGTACACGACAACTGACTGCAGTCATTATTTATTTATTGTTTATTTGATAGGGACAGATACAGTAAACATAAACAGGCTGAACAGCTATCCAATGCAACTATAACAGTGTTGGTAGCAGATGCTAATTCGAAACACCCGCCCCTAGAATGGCTTTTATCTTTAACATACTACAAAAAATACTTAAAACGGAAAACAAAAAGATACAGAAAAACACGGAATAAAAAAAGACATTACATTTAAAAACTATGCGAGTGCAGGTTTGTTTGCTGAATTAACCAGGGTTTTTTTCGATTGTTAGAAGTGGTAAAATTAGTAACAAATTTCAAGCGATCAGGAGGCGAGTTCCAGGACTTTGCTCCTCTCACAGAAAAATCTGATGTTTTACAGAATGGAACTTTATGTTTGAAACCTGAAGCTGCTTCGACTCTGACCTGTGGCCTTTTGCTGCATGTCATCCCCTCTCTTTCTCCCTCCTTTCCTGCACTATCAATTAAAGGCAATAAAAAAGCAACAAACAAAAAAACATTTGAAGACAAGCTTTACATGATGAAAATCAATATAATTTGCAAAGCTTACAATCTTGTATTTACCTAAAATGCAGAATTTTTTTTACCTTATTTGCTTTTTGTCCAGGATTTGGATTTGGAAAGTATATTAGGATGCCTTTCTCAGTTCTTTTTGACCAAACAATTGGTATCACAGTCCATCGTGTGCAGGCTGCACAGAACAGACCTGAAGCCTGAGACAAATCTTTCCACATCCAATTTACTGTATGTGGCTGCCCATTGATATGCAAATGTTTTAGCCATGTGGTCATCGTTAAAGCATCAGTAAAGAAGTGAAGGTTCATCTGTCTTTACAGTGACAAAACAAAGCACACAGCAAGTGGCTTTGGGACAGTTCATTCAATGTTCAGCCCCGACTTGAGTCAGAAAAAAATCTATTAAGAGACCTGAATATCCCAGTTAATTGGTATTCCTATCCAAAGAAGAGGTGAGAGCATCGGCAAGGAAGAAGCAAATGTGGGGTGCAGAATGTAGATCATGTTACGTATATAAAATAACAAAAGGAGTAAAAATATGAAAGATAAAAGTGTCTGAGTTTGTGAATCTACTGTACGTGATCATCATTTTTTCTTCCCCTCTCTCCATAGCTCAGTATTATCTTTCCTTTTATGCTGAGTTAGTGTGGTATAATGGGTGCTGAGTGCCAGTGGTGGGCTGATTCAGATGGTCTAATGAAAAGCATTTTCAGTGGGCTGTCATCTGTCACCATTAGATTGCAACATGTAAACATTGGCTGACAGCAGAGGGAGGCTTTCCTGTAACTCAGAGATAGAACATGATTTAAGCAAGTCTGGAGAAATGAAACCCAATCCCTGTTTCACTCTTTAGAATGCAGATACACTGATCTTGTGTTTCGTAAAAACAAAAACCAAGCCAGTAGTTGGTCAACTCTGTGTTGTGTTTGTTTTTCAGAATGGTACTGACTATGGGTTCCTGGTGCGTCAGAACTCTGAACTCTTGCGAGCCCTCGATGAACTGGAGAAGACTTGTACCACACTGAGGGAGGAGAATGGCCTGCTGGTAGGACTAAAAATAACGAAGCGTTTTTGAAAAATCATGACATTGTTTTTCTTCATATTTACTTCCAGTGACCGGTTCTGACAATACATTTCTACCATATCCAGCTATTGCTGTAGCCCTTCTTCAGTAGAAGACAATAGAATGAGATCATCAGCATAAAACAGAGACTTCACTTCTCTATCTAGGAGGGCGAGACCAGGAACAGGACACTGATCCAACTGAACAGCAAGTTCAGTTATATACAGAACACATTAATGGATGCCTCTGTAGCTTACTGGGTAGAGCATATACCACATGTCGAGGCTAAGTCCTTACCATAGCGGCCCGGGTTCGAGTAAGGTTAGAGAAGTAGTAGTATATGCACAAATAAAGTTAAATTGCATTCCCAAAAACACCTCTTCCCTACAGCACACCTATTTTCCAAATATGTAACTAGATCATACATTATGCCCCATATACCACAATGTAGGTTCCCCGTGTCCCAGTGAATTTCCACTGGTAACACAGGCCGGTGTTATACAACAATGACTGAATCCCTCTTCAAACCATTAATAGGCCCTCCTGAATAACTGTTTTTGTGACTTTCTTGTTTGGCATTGCTGCGTTGGTGTTAGTACTAGCTGCAGGCATTGTCTGACGATGATATTTGTTTCCCATGTGTTTAGCGGAAGAGCAGCGCCCCAGAGACTGAGGAGAAGGTCAGGCGGCTGAGGAGAAAGAACACAGAGCTGGCTGTTCTTGCTAAGAGGCTGGAAGAGAGGGCTCGAAAACTGCAGGAGGCCAACCTCAAAGTGGTATACCACACAAATAAAATACCCCCCCAACATTTTCACAGTGAACTGCATTGCTCACCGTGTGTGCCCTCACTCTGACCCAAATACTGGCGGTGACTCATTATGGAGCACCACCAACCAAATCACCATAATGTCCGGTAATGAGTTGAATGGAATATTTCAGCATGTGATGAATGGGAGCCTTGTTGAAAAAAACAGCACCCTATTGAATAATTTAATGCATCACTAGAATGGCTACAAGAACTCAGTTTTCAGTAGGAAGTCCAGGAAACCTGTTGAGATGTAAAATCTACTAAAAGATTACATAAAACAAACTAAAGATCAAACGCAGCAGTCGAGGATGGAAGCATTTATATTCCTCACAAATCATGTCTTGTATTCAGTATTTTAAAACCTGACAAGATGGCAACTCCTCCAGATGGACATTAGTTATCATCTGTACATAAATATTTTTATAAACATTTATTTTGCGGAGTATGAAAGATGTAATCGTGATCATGTTAAGAAATTTTCTGAATCCCTCAGCGTATGCACAAGCTTGTTAGACAGCTAACTGAACAGACAGAAGGCTGAGAAGACAGTTTAGTACTGAGTGTTGTTCACTATGCAAAACACAAAAATATACAGTAGGTTCAGCAAAATATAACAGCAAACTACTTTTTAATGTTATAGGTATAAATGCTTGTGTAGTATTTCTTTCTTAGAGTTACCTTTAAATAAAGTCTCCTCCTAAAAATGACTTGAACACCATAATAAAATCTAAACCAATACAGTAGTGCAGTAAACAATTTAAGGACCACCAGTGTCTGTCCCGGCTGCAACGCTGACCGGCTGCTGTGTATTCTGAGTGCACCTGTTGACCAGACTGAGGGGGAGACCTTTCCCCTCCCCCCTCATCTCCCACTCACTGAAGGACAGAGCAATGTACTTCTGATAGAGCTACAGCAAGAAAAAGTTTAAAGACTTCTACGACATTAACTGCATTCATTAAACCTTGTTTTGGACCTTATCTAATTATAGTTATTTAAGAAAGGGGGAGTTACTTTGCTGCTCTATTTGGTATTGATTGGCACCAAAGTGAGAGCCATAAATTCCTCACAAAGCACTGAGCGCTCCATGCTCAGTAGCTGGACAGTGGTATTTGACTACCTTTCTGTGGGGTGTTTATAATCCTGTCTTTCTGTCTTTCTGTCCGCTCATCTTTGACTATAACCGCTGTCTTCAACAGTTTTCCCTGTACCACCAGGCAATACTGCAAACCTACAGCAGTCATTCCTGCATATATTTATACGACTATACTATATACTATTAATAGTATAGACAATATAAACACAGTGAACAGTCTATGCATTAAGTATTGACTGAAAAGGCACAAGCAGAGGCCAAAAGCTCATATATACCTATCCTACATTCAGTTTAAGCTACCAGAAATAAAAGATGCTTCACACTTGTAACCATCAAAAATAGCTTTATATGCCATTCTTTTGAAAACCAAAAGCTAGTTACACATTCTTAAATTTATATAAGCATTGTTCCATGATTTAACCCCAACAATAAAAATACAAAAGATTTTTACAGTTTGTATTGTAAACTTACAAACATCTCTTTTTTTTTTAAATAAACTTTTACTCGCGGAGTGACTTTGACTGAGCTCTGAACATTATTTGCATTCATTTATGATAAACCAAATTTTTAAAAGTCATAGCATGGGCTTTTATAAACAGTGGATTAGTGTGATAATACTAACCAGCCGTATTAATAATATGTATGGCTCATTTTTGTAGTAAGACTGTTGAATTTTTTGTCGTTTTAAAGGTCGACCCCTACAATTCCACATAGTAAGATATGTAAGGAAGTACAGCAATACATAATAAAAGGCCTTATAATTCAATACATCCCTAGATTTAATAAAAATATTCTGCTGAATCAAAGCAATTTCCTAGCGTTTATTTTATTGTGAATCCCCTCAGCTTCAATGTGTGAGCTGTCAATGAGTGTATTCCAGACGTCCTCTATGAAATCCTCTCTGGTCATTGATACACATTTCCTTCTTGCTCCTGTGCAGGTGAATTCGCCGTCACTGATGAGACCCGGGTCAGTGGAACAATACAAGAGGGCCTTTGCCCGTCAGCGAGCTCGTGACCTTGCCCAGCACGCAGATGCACTGCTGTCTAAGGACAAAGAGATTGCTGCCCTACAACAAGAGTGCAGAGAGCTGGAGGCACGGCTGGGCACCACCAAGGTACTTAGAAAAACAGCTCCTCAGTAACTCAGCCCACATTGTACCATGCTCACTTATTTGGAATCATTCTCGACTGAAAGCCCGATTTAGTACAGCCCTCTGCTCTTCTAACATATCTCCGATCTAAGTGGATCCTCCAAGTTTTAGCCCCAGTTTTCCCTCTAACTTATCATCCCTGCCACAGACTCATAATGCCACAAGCTCGCTCTCTGCTGGACAACATGGGTACTACTCATCCTAACTCCCTCCTAAGCCCGTATTACAAAGGCTGCGTCACTACTGATGACTAGATGACAGTGCAGGAATAGGTTGTCCTTCTAAGTGCCTGTTTTTAATTACTGGTCCAGTGACTTAGGAGCTCATTCTGCTGAATGTGAACATCTGCTGGTTTAATAATGAAGGGTCTTACAGTGTGAGCTGTGCGTTGATCTAGTGAGAATGTATGGATGTTCAACTTAAACACATTTTCAACATGCAATAAGGGAGACAGGGAGGGAGTGTTCTTCTGATCTTGAATAGGGAAATGTAAATATAATGTACACATTTTGATGTCCATGACCCAGAATCAGTTTTAGTGCATGTTTTTGTTTTTATTTATGCAGTGTCCCCTCTGACTGTTATATTTACTACTTGTGTTGTGAAGTCAGTTCTAAACTGCAAGAATAACACGCCAGTGTACACAGTGCACATGATTACATACATGTCTTTGATTCAGTTTGCTTGCAGTTTGAAAATGTTAATTACTCAAAATAAATGAACAATAATGTGCTGAATCGATGACGTTATTTTCTTATGGCTGTCACTGATGCATGTGTCTGTGCAGGGCTCCCCGGTTCCATCTGGCCGAGTGGAATTTGAGAGGCTTCTCAGGGAGTCTCAGAGGGAGGTGCTTCGGCTCCAGAGACAGCTGTCGGTCACATCAACCAGACAACAGCACAACCATAGTCCCCATGACCCCGGTGGCCCAGATAAGTGTGAGGAAATTGTGGAGGAGGACGAAGAAGGAGAAGACAAGGTAAAGTCAGGCCCTCATATCAGAACACAGCACAACTCTACGCTGACCCCTGTTGGCCTTAAGCAGCTTTAATAAGTGAACCTTGTCTATGCACACTAAAACTGATGACATCAAATCAACTGTAATTTTAGACATGAGATCAAAGTAGCAATGGCTAAGCTTGTTCCATCACAGCTGCTGTGTAGTTAGGATATTTTTTATTGAGAATAAAATATCCACACATATACTCTAACCTCAGTCAGTATAAAGGTTCAAAAATTGTAACACTGAAAAACTGGTATGATGAAACTGTTCAGCTCATTTGAGGTTAAGTATGTGATTACAAATACAGACCAGATCATGCTTTTAAACGTAGGAGCGTCGATAATGTGTTGCTACTGCAGTACAGTTTGGATTATATGTTGTTGGGTAATGTAAAATTTAGCCCGCTGAGTTTTTCTAAATGCTAGTGTATGTTTATGTTGGCATTGATGCAGTTTTGCAGTGTTATATAATGGCTTGTCGTTGGACTCGATACTAATCTGCCACAAGCCATAATGAGATGATTCCCTGTCTTGAACTTGGGCCTGATCAAAGATACCAAAGTCACATACTCTGATCCTCTCTGCATTTAATACTGATCTTCTCTCTATTCAGTTCTTAGAAACAGTTCTTCACCAGTTAAGTGATGCCCAAATATATCAGTCACTGGCCAAACAGCTGAAAAATGCACACAAATCATAATTATATATACAGGTTACATAATGCAGAAAATACATTATTTGGAATTGTGAAATTTAGTTGGCCACACCACTGAACATCTGTAATAGGGAAGCACACTGAGTGCATGAGAGGTACATCTGGAAGGTGCAAATTCTGCGTATTAATAACAGCTTACATCACTTAAAGGCATACATCTTATTTATGGATTTTATTTTGGTAGACCACTGCCACTGCCTGTGAAGTAGAGTAAATTCTCTGCCTGTGAAGCTCAAATAAGAATGCCGATTGTGGTAATCTCTCGTTTGTGGGACGCACACACGCACTCCCAGTGGCACACGCGCGCCCAGAAAGGGGCCATGTTGTGTGAACTCTAATCCCCTCTAACAACAGAATGGTACAGTCCAGTAATCCGCTCTCTGTTGCTGTGGCAGCGGTGAGAGGGTTTTGGGTGGTAGGTAAGACTCCAGCCGCACTAAAGACTTTTCTATCTCGCCCTGCTCTGGATAACAAGCAGGCCAGGGGAAGCCTTGACGTTGCCACAGATCACACGAAAAGGGGTAGGTCATCTTATGAGTTTGGTTGTCTCTGTGTGTAGTTGTCAGTGGTCCGTTGGAGATCTCCTTAGCTAACCTCCTATGTGTCCTCTTGGATATGAGACTGAAGCCGTACAAGACTCAAAGTTGAGACTTAACACTGAAAACTAATCAGTGTCATGACGAATCGGGAGTGTGAGGGAATTGGCTCAAGGCAGTAAGTGTTGCATTTGTGTTAGATATTAAAACCACCGGCTTATTCTGAAAGATTATTAGTATGTTACACGCCCCATGTTAGTGTAAGAATATGACTCGCAGCTACTGTACGGGGATCTCATAGCTTAGCTTTTTTTTTTTTAATATTCCTTTCAGTAAACCCTAAGGTAAATCCCACCCCTGTCTAGGGTGGACTGCCACTTTCTTACAAATTAGAATGACAGGACATGCATGAGGCCTAGTCAAGGGCAGCCTGTCAGAAACACGGTTTTATAACAGTCATATTTTGGAGCTTCCAGATACAGAATTTAGACAGGCCGACTTAGTGGCAGGGTGGTAGAGCGTTTGATTGGTGGACATCGATATGCTCAGTATTAAAAAGAAAATCAACGACCAGGCCAATCCATTAAGGTGCTTTTAAAAGAAGTGATCCAGTTACCCGTTTCAGTAGTCTGCAGGGATTACACCAATGTGCTTATGGCATTCAGGGCCTGCTGAATGGGAGCTGACCCTGCTTTAGTACGCATGGGCCCAAGGTGTACTTGATCCTTTAGTGTACATGGACCACATCAGTGTGAAGTGTACACAATGGCACCTCACTGTGTGGAGCAGTGTCTAAGCCAAGACCTCATCAAACCAAACACATTCAGTGGCACCTGCTGTGGCCTCAACGTGAGGATAGACTTCAGACAGGGCTGCATCCTTTCAGGCCAGCTCTGTTAAAGATGTTGGCCGTTACACATCCAGCAGGATTTGAATATACTGAATATTCACAATATTCATTACTTTTATTATTGTGTTTTTATTATTGTTTATGTGTGCACTGTTTCAGTTTTTAGATCAGTTTTGCCACACCCCCTCAGTCCCATTCACTGTCAAAAGACACGTGAAGAATTTTTTACTGTGACCTCAAAGGCAATAATAACAATAAAGAAGTTCAGTTCATTGTGTCATAGTAAACGTGCATTTGCAAAGAGCACAGGAGTAGAGATAAAACTGAAGGTGTTTCTGATTTACTTATTTTCAAAGTTTAAACAAGGGCTAGTGTTCCCTGTTGATCCATTCAAGCCTAAACACAGACCAAATCAACATGCCTCCATCAGGTGTAGTCTGCACAGCGAGGGAATGTAGAAAAGTGAGCAAAACATTCAGTCAAGCTGGAACTGTTCTTTAATGCCAAATGTCTATGAATAATTATACATTTATTCTGTATAAAAGCCTGACTTAGAACTCAGTGCTTGGATGCATAGTAAACAGGTATACTGAAAGCTTAAATGGACTCTTATGAACATTTTATTAAAGGACATGTACTAGTTATATTCACTTATAAATTAGTGCCCCTTCAAATTTAAATAAAACATCTTTGCATGCCAGGAAATATTCTGTTCCTCTGATTTAGGATCCGTACAGATTTTATCTGTCATTGATGATATAATAATTACAGTGTCGTGTAATTATGGACCCTGCAACCAGCTTTTGTCCTTCCAAATTATTCTTAGTCATGATTTAATTTGACTCCAGTAGCTTCAGGAACAAAGTGTATTTGTCTGCAGAGTGTTTGAATGCTTTGTGCTGCTCACTGACTAGAAATAAGAAGTTAATATTACTATGTAAAACAAAGAGAACATTCTGGTATGATATTTGCACAAATATCTCAGTGTGTGAAGTTCATCACACTTTAAATTCAATGGAATTCAGTAATTAGTTTTGAAAGCTGATCTATTAGAATTGAAGCCAATGCTAACCATAACTAATCCTTGAATTTGACCAGAAATTTCACAACATGATATTGAAGGGTTGGTTTATAATTCACATTTAATGAAAGACTAACACAGACACAATAAACCACCAAATTAATGTAGAGTTTAACTATAACGTAACATTTTAGTATATCTGGCTGAGGAGAGAGCAGGAACCAGCTATATACTTGTTTTATAAGGTCTCAAAAAACTAAATGTGAAAAAATGTTTGAGAAATGGCTGCTGTCTGTACCAGTCCTTAAACCATCCTTACTCCCTTAGGGAGGGTATGTTTTATTCTAATTGTTCAGAAGTTATTATTTCTGCTAAAGGCAGCAGCTTTGTATTAATGCAACTACTTCTCATAGAAATATGGATGGTAATGATTTAAACCAGCATAGGCCAATTATATATATTTAACGTATAGTCTATTGGCTGAGTGGTGACTCCCTGCAAATGTTTAAATGTCCTGTTCTAATTGTGCTCTGACACAATTTATTGTTTCACTTTCATTAAAAAATCATGTAATATTCTGTAATTGATAAAAAATAGTTAACGATAATGGACGTTTCTTCTGTTTGGTCGTTGGATTGAAACCACTGGTGATTCCTTCCTTCACTAGTTCAAGTGAATGTGATGCTCTAAATGGAGATTTTGTCCTTTTTGCGTAATACATTTTGATATTAATCTTAAAATAAATGTCACCACTGCTCAAAATGTTTTGAATATTCATTGAGAAATAACAAAAAAAAAGTTGAACTTGAAAATTCCTATTAAAACCATCTTATCACCTGTAGGAGGATATTACTGCCCAGACATGACTTGAATTTAGGCACTGTAAAGTGAGTACAGGAATTCCACAAGTCCATAATTAATGTCAAAAAAAGAATAAGCAATAACACTAAATATAAAATATTCCTTTGCTAATAGTTGAGCAATAACACAATGTGCCAAAAACTGTCAAGTATTGATTTTGTATATATAGTATATATATTTTACTACTATAATGGGATTACTTATTTTAATTTGTTTGAGCACTAACATCTTTTCTGTTAATTGTCCTCATGAGAATAGAGAATTCAACACTACACCATGACCAAGTACATGCACAGCTTGTTAGGTCACACTAAGTTTTGTTAGGTTAGTGTGTTGGCAAATAAACCTCTGAAATGATTCATGATAGCCTAAGCCTTGGTCTAATGCTCTCTATGACAGACCCTTTATTCCTCATAACATTGTATAAACGAGGCATTATGTAATATTCCCCCTCTGTGCTCATTCGTCAAAACCATGTCAGAATTATATCACACGTCGCCTGAATGCTGATTATATTTGCTTTGAACTCATCATTGTGAGCTCTCGCATTCCCTTTACAAAAAGGATTGCTCGTTTAAGGGATTTGACCTGTAGACTAATAGCACAATGTATGTCATACTGATTATGTTGTCCCTGTGTGGTTATATGACAATATGTCAAAGAAAGGTAAACACCATGACTAAGTAGGAATTTGTTTAATTACATCTTAAAAGGTTTAGATTCTCACCTGTGGTAGAAGTATAGCTAAGCTGAATCAGATTTGTTTATTGCGAAAAAGTTAATTAAATGAGAAGAGCTGCAAAAGTGGAGGAATAATAATTAAAGAGGGTGGGGTTTGTTCAGATTTGCATTGGCCACCACTGTGTGTGTCACTCCCACCTTGGTGCATGGCTGCCAGATTGTAGCAGCGAAATCCACACACTTAAGCCAGCCCACTCAATGGGTATGAAGTGCAACAAGCTATTTAAGAGTAACAAGAAGACGGACTAGTTTAACCATGGCCGACCAAATATAGAGCTGGGTATTTCGCCAGGAGGCTGGGATCACCTGACGTGTTTGCACCTGTGGTGGATGTGACAGGATCTGTAATGACAACCAGAAACTGAGAAATGTGCAGGGCACTTGTTGAAAGCCCTCACTCCTGTGTTTTTGTACAGGGGCCAACAGAATTAGTGCCTCCTGCTGGCCTTTCATCACCACTACTTACACCATCTGGTCTTCTATCCAAAAGATAAACCAGGGGCAGCCTCGCTTAACTTCACAGACAATTAGTATCCTTGGTAACGCCTGTGTTTACCCTACTGTTTCATGTCAAAATGGCTGCTGTGAAAAAAGATATATATTGAGGTCTTGCATATGCACCATGATGCCTGAACATACGTCTTAATGCAAGCTGCTTTACGTGTGAAAGGACGACAAGCTTACGGCATTAAGCACCCGCATGTTTAACCAACATGCGTTTAACAGATATTTAACAGTTTCCTGCCAGAAGACTTTCACAACGTTTTCAGGCTGCAAATAGTAGCAAGGCAGATGATAGAATTAAAGGATGATGGGAATGGGTATCGTCATACATAGTATTCATTTATACCAATTAATGGTTGTCTTCCATAGAAGCCAATCTGTCTGTTATTGCCAATTTGCTTTTAGTGACAGTTTAGTGGTTTCTAAAAGCAATGATGGCCGCACACATCAGCCTAAACAAAGTACTCTTTCTCAGTCAAGTCAGAAGTCTTGTCAGGTTTCAGTTTCTCACTGGAACTATGGAACTGCAACTGTCGCTGAACCTGCAGCCTTTCCAGAATAGCTCTGCTCCAACATTAGAGATGCAATGTGTTTGAGGTTGAATTGGTTGCCGGTATTCTATAACTGCTTGGAAGAATGCTTGTATCATATACATCTACTGTGTGAAGGAACAGCACTCGTCTTATATGAGAAATGCAAAACAAACTGTTCTTTAAAATAATATTTTAAAAGTCTGTGGTATGTCTTGGTACCTCTCACTGTTTCTCTATTGAGTCTTTCATGACCATATCCATTTAAAAGAGCTATATTCAACAGAATTTATTCATTGTTATCAAATTTTAAACATGCATTGCAGGTAACTGCTACCAGATCATAGACTTACAAAACTAGTTTTGTTACATTTGCTAGAATAAAATTTACCATCTAATGCAAATTCTGACAACACAGATCAGAAGAAACAAATGACAAATGAGTGTTATATATTAGCTTTTTGGAAACGTTCTAGCTGCAGTGACACTTCGTATTTTGCTGGCTTAATTGTACCCTTACATAGAAACTGCCAGCACAGTATATGAATCTCTCCATATTGTGTTCTGACTAAAGAAATCATGTCTTTAACAAGTGTGCTAGAGTGAAATGCATTTTAGTGACTATGTAAAAGAGAGGAGAGTGTAAAGGAGAGATCCCCCTCGCAGCACGTGTCAGAGCGCCTTTGATCCTGTTATTGGGTCGTGGCCTTGGCTGCACTAGCACAGTTCTACTCTGAGCATAAGTAGGTTTGCTCTAAAATTAGATACTGATTCCCGACTCTTAACCCTTAACCAATGTCAGCCTGTCCCCCACCTGGACCCAAGTGAGACAAATCAAACTATTTCTAAAAATGAACTTATACCTGTAATTAGTTAGAAAAGTAACCTACTGTGAAACATTCAAGTCATTACACCCCACCTAATTAGACAGGACAGACTTCCTGCTAATGTGTTGAAGTCATGTTGCAGGCTAGAGGGATTCCCCCTGGATTATTCATTGATTGTAGTTGGACCACTGGGAGGGAAGCTTGCTGCTAATCCCTCCACCACAGTGGGGGGTGTAATGTTAAGTGTTAGTGGACAGGAAAATAATCGTACATTGGCTCCCCTCAGCAGTTGGTCATGTTTTGAGGTTAAGAACAGAAGCTTTTTAGTACCAATACCTCAGATCTTGACTTTTCAAGATTACCTCTATAAATATAAAGTGACTGACTGAAAGCTTCTCCCTGTCCCTGTCAGGTTGTAGGAGAGACCCCGTGTGTGGTATTAGATGAAGCTCCATCCAGGTGTGAGAAGACTCCCGGAGAGGAGGAGGAGTCGGGGCTGCGAGTAACGCCCCAACCGGGCCTTAGCCCGACCCCCTCCCATCAGGAGGAACACACAGAGGAGCAGCACCTACAGTTTCTGGTGAGAGCGTCTATCTGATACTATATTCATCTGATATTTCATAATGACGCTAACATATAGTGTACATTCAAATCACACCGATGTAATGTGCCACTTTTGTGTTTTTTCTGTTAAAGATTGCTTTCATGAGGACAAAACCACTCATGAAAGCAATTTGCTCTTAATATTATTCAACATAATCGAATAGAATGCATCAATTATTGTTATTGCTTGTTGTTGCTGAAATTAGAGGGTTAGTAATGCAGAGGGTTACTAAATGTCACTGGCTCAGCTTTCAAATCAGGCCTCTCCTCCAAACACTCATTCATGAGAGTCTTACACACCTCTTAGCAACAATAACTGCATATTGTGCCTGATTGCAGGTATCTAGCTTTGCTTTGCACTTTGCATTTCCATGTGAAAGTGGAACTTGAATTCAGTGCTGTGACTTAGCTGACTGCAACTGAAGGAAAAACTATGGTCAGATTTGTTATGTAATGCTGGGATTATTTTGATCGTGTCCCTTGGAAACAGAACAGTAGCACATTGCCCTTGCTGATTGTACAAGTGGGTCTCATGGCTTAAATAGACCATATTCCCTCTCAGCTCTGTATTGACTGTCTGTGTCAGGGTGGGAAATTGTGATTTTAGACATGAATTGATGTTGTTTTGTTTATTTGGAGCTGATGACATTTTACATCACATCAGCATAAATTTAAAAAAAAGCATACAATATCTAGAGAACGGATTACATAGTAGGAATAGTATCAGGAACGGGCTGCATGTGTCCCTACCCTTCACTGAGCCATGCATGTGCAATTATTGTGTTTTCATGATATAAATTTCTCTCCATTAAGATCATATCTGCACTCCCCTCAGTTAATAGCTGGTAGTGCAGTTTTCTGATTGCTAGAAGAAGTCATAATTAATGTGCTAGTGTATTTTCTAAGAAGTGATGTGCTGCTTTTAAATTCTGTTCTCTAAAATGTATTTATTTGTACATGGTTCCCTTAAATGCATACTTTATGTAGACACAGCTTTCTCAGTTTCCGTCCTAACTAAAGCTGCAACATTCTGAAGGGAATGAGCCAGTTGTTTTAGTTAGATAGTGTATTGCTGTGTATTACATTGATCTGCACAAGGGAGTACCTGAATGTAATTGAGCTTTGTCTTTTTGGTTTTACAAGCAATATGTGGAAACAGCTTCAATGTAGCTTGAAGGTTTTTCTCCTCATCTTTCATCCATCATAGACTAACTTGCTATCTTTCATAAAGCATGACTAAGTCATTGCGTAAAAGTGGGATCTTCAAGAGTAGGATATCTTAGATAGGTTAAAGGACTTACAGATGTAGGACAGAGCAGACACACACAATATTTTTAACCATGCTAACAATATTGGTCAGTCCAGACTTAAATATCTCAACAGCTGTGGAAAGGATTGCCATGAAATTTGATATAGACATTCATGGTGCCCAGAGGAGGATTTGTAACAACTTTAGGTCAAAGGTCATCAGGTCAAAATCTCTATTTGCCCAAAAGTTTGGTTTATGACCGATTACCTGCAGAACTAATGACATTCCCATCAGCCTTAGCTGTACTTTGTGTTTAGTGTTAATTAGCAAATGTTAGCATGCTAACATACTAAACTAGGATCATCAACATCGTAAACATTTATACCTGCTAAACATTACAGTGTTGCAGCATTGTCATAGCATTGCCATAGCATTTAGCTCAGAGCACCAGATCAGCCTCACAGAGCATGGCTGAATACTTTTTCTTTTTTATTTATAGAAAATTCCAGGACAAAAAAATATATAACCTGCATGTTAATGGCACCGGTTTGACCTACGCTATTGAGCTTTCCAAACAAAAATTAATTTGGACCCACAGCAAACGAACAGTTCAGTGACAGTGTCTGATTGTGAAACAGCTGACGGTACATTTAAGTTCCAATCAGTGGTGGTAGTCATGATTTGACTATACAACACAACATTCTCTCTTGGTACGCATTATTCAGGCCTTTAAAGCTGTGACTGATACACAATCAAGCAAATCAGAGCACAGATTGCAGTTTAATTATGGTTATTGTCTTGCTGTGTCATCACTGGTGAGAGTACAGTATCTCTTCCACTCGGCTGCTGGTGGTCTGCAATTAGCCTGTCTGTTGTGTAGCCTCCCCCCACACACTGACAGTGGTAATACTTGATTGAGGTCCTGTGGCCATGCTGGAATAAGCTGATTTCTCCTATGCTGGTCCTGCATGTAAGCTGCATTTAGAATAATTAAAGGATGCTAAGCTTTGTAATACCTCATTGCTATTGTGTCAGAGGTCAATATGGAACCTAAACCCAATGTATTCTGCATTGCAAACTATAAATGCAGTCATTACAGATCATTTTCCATGGTTTTGCTCTTATACAGTATATCATCCTTTCTGTTTAGAACCATACGAGCCAGATGTACTTTTGCAGCTATATTAGATTTCAGAATAAGGATTTGGTGTCTTTGCTTTGTTCTCATTGTCGGTTCAGGAAAGTGAGCTGTGCAAGAAGAGAAAAGAATGTGAAAACCTTGAGCATGAAGTAAAGAAGCGACAGAAGAGATGTCTGGATTTGGTAAGCAATCTTCCCTCTCCAGTGTTTCCTTCTCACATACTCTCTGGCATGGCATGGATTTCCTCAGATTTATCTGAATGTTGTCTTGTGGTCTGGTAACAGGAGAGCCAGCTTGAGGATGAGCGAGGCAAAAATGAGCAACTAAAGGAGGAGGCAGATCTCCTCAGGAGGAAGGCACAGCTGCTCGACCAGGTCAGTGTCTCTCTGTCGAGCTCCTTTATTTTTTCCCACATAAAGTGGATCTCAGTTTCATAGTTTTAGCAATATAGCTGTCAGTTGAGATCATGTTTTACTCACCAACTCAATGCTGAGATCTGGGGATGCAGTGACATCACTAGAAAGGAGCTCAGTAAGTCAAGCCAGACAAGTGCTCTGACAATCAAAGAGGTTCTAAAAGACTCTAAATTTTCACGTAGTTGTGGATTCAAATCTCGCAATACCCATTAGGGATGATGACCAAAACTGTGAAACGGTCCAGTCAGCTAACCTGCTGTTGTTTTTCCAGACTCGGGCTGAGAATGAGGAGCTGAGGGAAGATCTCTCTGAAGTGACCGCTCAACACAATTCAGTTCTCGAGGAGAACCAGAGACTCCGTGCCAAACTGGAGAACCTAGAGCAGGTCCTAAAGGTACTGCTGGGGGTCAGATCCTATGTTATCTTAAATTTCACTCTTTACCGTACCACTTGAATGATTGCCTTCTTTCTGAACAGCATATGCGAGAGGTCGCCGAGCGAAGGCAGCAGCTGGAATTGGAACATGAGCAGGCACTGGCTATCCTTAAGTTCAAACAGGATGAAATCAAACGGTTACAGCGGGTAAGAACCACAGGTTCTTGCACATATTTGCTTTTAGTCTAATTCTGGGAAATGGGGGGCTTTGTCCAGCAGGAGGCAACCTTTGGGCACCAATAAAACATCAGGTTTTGTCAGCGGAGCTCACTGTGTTGTTAATTAGACTTTTATGAGCAAACAGTCAACAGTTCACTGACTTTAATGTCTTTTTAATCGTCAGGCTCAGTTATTCGCCAAGAGGGAGCATGAGGGAGTGGTTCAGATGCTGGAGGTGAGTGTGTATTAAAGCCACTGTGAGTACTCGGCAAAGAAGATAAGCAAATTTGTATCCCATGTAGTGCTTTTATAACCCCACAGTAAAACCCTGAGTTTTTTTTTTCAAGAATTTAGGATGACTAACCAAAGCAAAAATCAAAGGTGCCAGTGTTTATTACAGTCACACAAGAGAGCGGAACTTAATTCACTAAGCCCCAACATAAGAGAGAGGAGGAGTGCTGTTTGGACTTCCTCAGTGTTTTTCTGTTGCACTACATATTCCTGTCTGAGGAGATAAAATCTAATTTATTATTGAAGAGGGTGTTTCTTATCTCCAACACTAAGCAAAAAGAGCATTAATATTGAATTATTTCCCTGTTCTTAGCAGACAAAAGACCCAAGCAGCATGGACATACAGTTCAATGGGCTCTTTATTCTTATCTAAACACCTGGCAGAGAAGCTGTGGCAAAAAATACTTGATCTCATATTTTTGTAGCACTCATGGGCCCCGAAAACCGTTTGAACAGATGGCTTCTCCGCTGCCATGTGACGTTTATACTTGGTCTCAGTGTGAGTGTAACACACGTTGAATTCAAAATGAATCCAGACAGTCGATGACAGTTGAAGTCCCCATCTGTCTGATTGGCTGCTAGTTTTAAATGATGAAAAAAAACTTCAGAGCCTGCAACAAAACCTCAAATACTTCATTATCTACAGTTGATGACTGTATATGTGTGCTGTCTGTGCTCCGTTTTTCACACTGTACATTTCGTTACGTGAGTTTGTTTCTAAATGAAGTGTGTATTTTATTTTAGGAGTTGACTCAGCTTGTGTTGCGGAGGGAGCTGGTAGAGTATAGTTTGCTCCTGTTTTTTTAAAAAATGCCCATTTCCTTCCTCTTGCTTTGTTTCTCTCCCTTTCTGTCTCTCTATTTAAACCCGAAGCATCACAGGAGAAAGTCTCTTTCCCTTCTGAAACCCTGAGCTTTGTTGCCATGTCAACAACCTGCCTTTTGCAATCTGTTAAATACTGTTTTTGAAAGATTAAAGAGAATATTTGTGTTCATTCAAAAGGCAGGTGTTGTGAGTGCCAAGACACAGTCTAGTGATTCTGGCTCCTGACAGGATTTTCTTGCCGACCTGTTCTCAGACTGCAGTGTTTCTACTCTATTAATATGTTTTGTCTTGCCAGATTCATTGTTTCACAAGCATGTGTTTACTTCTGTATACTTTTTTTGTCATTTGTGTTGTCTTTTTGCTAACCAGAGTACACTGGACTGCATGCAGGTACTGTTAACCTTTAGCCTGCTTTACCTTCTGGGCCAAATTATTTATCTTCCTGTCACAAAACCATCCCTAGCTCCTGTAGATAGACCCACCAAACCCCAGTCACTTTGATTTGAACCCTCCCAAGTTGAAAGAATGTACCCAGGTTTGTACCTCATTTGTGTTTTATACATACATTGAAAGCAACAACACTGCGGACATTACTGTAAAACAGTCTTTCCTAAACGCTTCATTTGGCCACCAAGGCCCATTTGTTGCTGATACATGTTTTTAGCTTACCAAAGTGTGTGTAAATCAGGTCATTCACATGGGGCCAGAGAGCGGTGTATCTGTGGCACAGTTGCACTGAGCACAGTTATCATGCTTATCATGCTGGCTTGTTTATTTGATCTTGTTATATTGAGGTAGAATCTCCCTTTGTGCATACCCCACACATCACTGAGAGTCGCATTGCTGTTTGTAAATGAGTATTCATTTGTGCTCAGTGTAGCCAGATAACGACTGACTGTAGACTGCGTAGGTGAGAGCTGACAGGAAATGTTGTTTCATGCAGTTTCGTGCAGAGGCTTTTGTCAGATCAGCCTGCCAGGAAACTCCCCCCGCAACCTGAAGTGAAATCAACCACATATAGAAACTCAGTAGGGCTACGACAGACCTCTGTAGTGTTCTGGCAAATAACCCTTGTGTTTAGTGGCTTTATTAAAGTGAATGCAGTGTAAGACAGAAGCACAACATATAACTTCTCAAAACCTATGCTACTCCTGTTTCCCATCTTACCAGAGAACTGCCCGCCTTTATTTCCCTCCCTTTTTCTTTCCACTGAACCTCTAGTTCATGAAGCTTATAACAAATGTTTCACAGACAGTTTGCAGTATATTGTCTTGATGTAACCTTATATTGCAATACTTCATTTTGTAATGGAAGTAGCAGTGTATTATATGTTTGCCATATTGTGTTGTTCCATCTGTCAATCCACCAAAATAATCAGCGATCAGATGAAAAAAAAAGAAAGTTTTCCATAGTTACTAAGTTAGCGGCTGTATATGCATAAAAGGTCTCTGCATGACACTGAGAAATTAGAGAGAGGGTTACTTTTACATACAGGGTCCTATTTTAAACCGTGCAATGACACGCACAGAGCTGTGGGTGCAAGGACTGTGTGGGTATCTCCAAGTGCACCTGCTATTTTGGTTCATGTATGTGCAGAAGCACAAATAGAAAAAGGGCTGGGTGAAGGTAAATAGAGATCTGAGAGTGTGGGGATTAATAAATATACTCTAAGCCAGTCACATCACTGTGCCAATCACAATGGTGCATGATGACACAAGCTCAACATTACGCTGTAGTCTTGATGGTGCTGAGCGGGATGATGTGAACACACAGCACCTCATATCTGCAGCTAGAGGCAGATGGTGTCACGGGTGGGCGGGCAAAACAAATTTCAGGGGTCAAGAAACTATCAAGCGGTTGAACTCTGGCTGCACTGGTCGTTGCGCTGCGACAAAAATAGGGTTAGATCCCTCCACATTACTGATGTGTTACAATAAAACACTCAAAACGCTCCTGTGTTTAAACACTACTTTGCCAACCTATTAAGCAAAGCTTACCTCACTTGCTTGTGTGTTTTTAAAAGCACATAGTAAATTCTAACACTTGAAATGTATTGATTATAACAAATTGGTGATACCTCATATAATGGTGTTGAAAGGTGGATTCTCCCATTTAAAGTCAAATGGTTAAAAACTGTGTTTTTATTGTATGTGTGTTTCCTCTGTCTCTTACGCCTTATGTGTAGTCAAAGGTACGAGATCTGGAGGAGAAATGTCGCAGCCAGAGTGAACAGTTTGGCTTGCTGTCCCAAGAGTTGGAGAAGTTTCGACTGCAGGCCTCCAAGGTGGACCTGGCCGGCTCTAGCCTCCTTAACAATCCCAGCCTCTCTGTTCTGACCAATGGGGTGGGCCTGACTACTGAACGAGGTGAGCTCTGCCACCATGACATGAACTTGTAATATTCATGAAAATAGATTCTTTACTACAAATAGCTTCTTTGTGCTTTTTCTTGTATAACAGTTAGTGCTTTAAAGAGTATTTAAAAACTAGGTGAAAGAAGCAGATTGCTTTGGTTAATTTATAATATTACAGAATGCTTACCTGCATATAACTGCATATTAGCAGTAAATGAATGGTATCAGCTTCCCCTAATTGATGACTCTCAGAACCAAGAAATAACCTCAACGATCTGCCTTTCAGAGTCTTCTTTCACTCTAATAGTCTAATAGTGATTGTTATTTTTGTCTCACCATTATAATTGTCTCAACATAATTTAACCTGTATCTAATCTTTGTAAGTGTTCTTGTATTCTTTCAGTTTCAAATGACGTCTTATCATAAAAAAGAGGAATTGAGTTCCTGGCACAAAGCATGGCTTTGAAAATGTAGACCAATAGCGCCAATTCACTCATGGACCAAATGCCTTGAAAAGCATCCAAATCCATTTTTAAACTGTCCCATCAGCTTTCAGCTTTCAGCTTTTAGCATAGGGATTTTTCATTATTGACTTTGCAGTTTCTTCTTAGTAAGGTCACAGCCACAACAGTGCAAATCTAGTCCACATCTTTCCTGATGTATGTATCCAACCTTTTTCTCCTACCCTGTCCATGTGTTTTAGACTGCACTGGTGGCTCATGGGATATGGTGTCTCTGGGTGAAATAGCCTTCTGGAGTCTCGAGGGAGGTGACACTCTCTCCTGCCCTGAGGGTAATGATCCGCTCGGTTTCTGTCTCTGTTACTCATGATACGTGTTGGGCACTGTCACAAAAGCATGGCATGTTTTAACCTGTCATCCCACCCTCACCGTCACAGTCCAGCGCCGTAACAGAGCTTGTCTGTACTGCTCACCATCACATGAGGGTCGGTGCTCGCGCGCCGCGGTGAGAAACAAACCAGTTAAGCCCCTTAACAGTGCTGGTGTGACACACGTCGCCACAAGGTGGTGTGACCTCTGACCTCAGACAGATGGAGACAGGATTTTTTCCTCCACTGTTTAATCAGCCAGGTTCAACCTTGAGCCTCCTGCATGTCAAGCAGCGACCTCACCCACCTAGCTGCTCATGGATTCAGCCGGGTTAACCAGCGAGAGGGCTGGGGTTTTCTGTTAAAGTCATGGATTAGGTATTATCCTCTTCCTGTCTCTCTCCTTTTAGATGTGGCCGCTGCTCTGCGGATGGGGGCCACCCCTCACGCCGCAGGGCTGTCCAGGGTGGAGCGATCGCCAGTCACCAAGCACAGAGAGCTGCCCACCATCAGCGTCAGCAAGTCAGGCTCCTCCTCCAGCAAGTCAGAGACCGCACACCTCACCCCCAAGTCCGACACCCACCTCAGTCCACACAAATCGAGCCCAACACATGAGGTACCAGCCCAGGATGTACAGTGCATCACTTGCTACTCATTTCATAATTAATACGTTACTTTATTCATTATTTATCAGGGGCAACACACATTAATTAACATCAATATGTGTCATATTCAGACAAAATCCTTTTATCTGCTGCCCCTCTGCAGGTTGATGTTATGCATTAATAAACAAACCTGAAATACAAATAGAAGAAAATCAGAATGTTCGTTTTTAATTGAATTGTGATCCCCCAGGAGCAGACACTCACTGTGGTGTCAGATTCAAATTGAAATTGTAATTTGCTGCTAGAAAAATTATATTATATTGACTTTATTGCAGTGCATTAATAATGTTTTACCACACAGCGCTGACTGTGATTAAATATACTTATGACTATTTTTAGTGAAATTGAATGCACTAATTAGTCAGTGTGCATATCACTGATTAATAAGTTTATTCAATTTATGTCACATGGGGTATATTTTGCATGTCAGGCGAAGAAATAATGGTAATTCTGGCCAAAACCCAAGAGTATATGCTACCTTTCACTACATAATACAGTTTATTAACCTGGTTGCACCAGATGGTTTGTTACACAGGAGTTTGATGTTGGAAGCTTTGTAAAAGGGCAGGCACTTTCAAAAAAATACTTTGCAGGTGATTGGATGAGCCATCTGTCTTTCACAGATCAGATCAACGAACAATACAACGTAGTCATGCTCTTACCGAAGCCCATCGGGAGAAGAGCATCTTTTCCATCAAGAAATGCCTTCAGTGCTGTTCTTTGCTCTTCTCAATCTTCTCAATGAAGAAACACTCTCCAGTTCACATATAACTGATGCTAGCAGCATCTACTCTAACCTCTTTAGCAGCAGCCACTGTTGTTTTCGAGCAAACGCTCACAAGTCATTCGTCGTGCCGTAGCTGCCAGTAGGGCCTTATAGGAAGCTGATTGGTCCGAACCACTATGGTTGGACACAGGAGCATAGCATGAGTCCAGCTGTCTCACAAGCTATTTTTATATATGTTTATAACCTGAGTCAAAGGGCTACTACATTTGAAGCCAACCTTAATATCTGCGAGACAAAATAGTTTTATTTTTGGTTAGTGATAATTTGAAGCCCTGGTTGTAGATTTGTAATAATGCTCCCTTTTTCACCCAGGTTATATCATTGTGCAGAACCCCTGCCTGCAGTTCTTCTGCTTTCTTTGTTTCTACATAGACAGGCAGATTGCTCATCAAGATTACCAAGACCGCCATGCACGATCACATTGTGTGGATTTAATGGATTAAAAAGCCCTCTTTAACCTCTCTGTCATCTCACGCGAGTGCAGACTGTTGCTGAATATGCTAGAGCTCCCTCTGCTCATTCATAAAAGACGTTTTTTTGGATCGGCCGCCATGTTTTAGTATTTTTGTTGTGCCATGTCTCCAAAAGAGTCAGTGTCTGGTCTCGCATGACAGACAGGTTGGTGGTCTTTTCATCTAGTTACTCGTCTGCACACAGTTCAATAAAGCTCATATTTAGTGAGATAATCCACTCTCCTCTGTGGATTATGAAGGTTATACAGTAGTAGTTGTAAGTGATTATCTTTAAAAAGGTTTTCTCCAGGGAGCTATAAATATACAGCCTCTCTTATTGTATTGTGTGTAACCACTATGAATGGGAATCAAACTCCAAATCAGGTATCGAGGTGATTCTCTACTAACTAGTAACTCCCTATAAGAAGAATATTGTACACAGCATTTTCACATGAGAAGTAATGTATGGTAGCTAATAACTAGCTTTGTATTTACAGTAAATAGATTTTGGAGAAGCCATCCTTTCCCCAGAAAATATATGAAACATGAGAAATATTTAGTTGCACTGAAGAAAACACCCACTTTATTTGGAATATGCTATTTCACAGCCATTTCACAACATTTTGTCTACTTCTGGTTTATATGGATTTACTGTGTTAAAATAATGATATAATATTTTTACATACCCCTTTTCAATTAGTTTTTTCAGACTAGTGCAAGCTGTTTTAGGCCAGGCAATTCACCCTGTGTCCGTGGTGTTCTCAGGTGGACACTGCCAGTGAAGTGGAGGAGCTGGACATCGATGTAGCCCCGGCACCTTACACAGCCAGCAGAGGAGCAGCAAAGCTTCAGGTCTTCATTGCAAGATATAGGTAAGTATTAAACTAAGGCTAAGAATTGACTCACTATGTCAATATGTATACTTAAGTTTCTTAATATGTGCTGAAAATAACTTCTAACTAACATTTTTAACAGCTATAATCCATATGATGGACCCAATGACAACCCTGAAGTTGAGCTCCCACTCACTGCTGGAGAATATATCTATGTGTATGGAGACATGGATGATGATGGCTTCTATGAAGGTAGGTCTGGAGTGTAAACTGTTGCATCTACAGTTTCATATTTCTGTCTTTACCTGGTATTCAGTGTTCTGCTGTGGCTCCTTACAGGTGAGCTGATGGATGGACGGAGAGGGCTGGTCCCCTCTAACTTTGTGGAACGCGTATCGGATGACGATGTCATGAGCACTCACCATCCAGAGACAGGGGACATATCCCATAACTCCCTGCTAGACAGCAGTCTGCACAGTGCCAGCCACCAGCATCACCTCCACACGGGCGTCAGCGCCTCAGAAAGGACAGAGGTTTCTGCCGCCTCTGGCCCTGCCTCAGCCCCCTCAGATTCATCATCGGCCTTGGCTGTCCCAGCCCCCCTCACCAACGGCCTGGACTTGGATTTGGAGGAGGTGGGAGTGGACATTGTGCCTTACCCACGTAAGCTCACCCTCATCAAGCAGCTTGCCAAGAGCATCATCATCGGCTGGGACCCTCCGTTGGTGCCGGCTGGGTGGGGCAATGTGTGGAGCTATAATGTGTATGTGGACCAGGAGCTGCGGCTCAATGTGCCCTTCGGTTCTCAGACCAAAGCGGTGCTGGAGCGGCTCGACATAAACCTCAAGGCCTACCGTGTGTCAGTGCAAAGCCTGACAGAGAAGGGCCTCTCAGACCAGCTGCGCTGCAGCTTGCTGGTCGGTCGGGACGTTTGTGTGGCGCCCACACAGCTGCGTGTGGAGAGGATCACCGCCACCTCTGCCAACCTGACCTGGCTGCCCAGCAACAGTAACTATGTGCACATTGTGTCCTTGAATGATGAGGAGTGTGAGCTGGTGAAGGCTGGCTGCTACTCGCTGTGCCTCAATAACCTCTTGCCCAGCCTGCAGCACACAGTCAAAGTGGAGGCACGGCCGCACCGCACACCATGGGAGTTACCTGTGGAGCGGCGTGAACACAGAAGCGCTACAATCACCTTCACCACACTGATGGCAGGTCAGGATTTAGAATTTTATCTGTTTTCTCAAGGTACACTACAATTTTTCCTAATTCAGAATGAAATCATATCAAACATTTAAGTTGGACAAGAGTAAGTGGCCCAGTCTGCCTCAAATGTTTGATCCAGAATTCACAGACATCTCAGATGAGTAGATTCTCTGAACTTCAATCAACTTAAAATGCATTCAAGTCATTTTCGTGTATAAGCTCTGTTGTTTGTGTGTATGTGTGTAAGAAAGAGAGCCGAGATCCTATTCAGAAGCTTTCCAAAGCTTTGTGTGGATAATATGATGAGCAATTTCCTGGAAAGATTTGTAATTCTAACAGTTTGCACACGTGGCTATGGTGTTTGGTGATTTAATAGACAGTAGCACTGCTGGTCGGGATTGTTGAGGCGGTCACTTCCACCATTAATGTGAGGGACTGTCTGTAGGCGACCTCTCTCAAAGACAAACGCACCTCTTAAATTAGAAGAACACACTTTCATATTAACCCAATGTGTCCAAATTAAGATATTTTATATTCAGTAGTGGGGATTCTGTGCCTCCCACACAAGGACATCAGTTTATTCATGAGAGCTGCTTTTGTGCTACTCTGACGTACCTCTGTTTTATTAAATAGCCAAAGCACCTTGGCCCTGAATGCATTTCTTCAAAGGGAAGGAAAATATGTGATTCGATTGGCCATGACAGATGCCATCCTCTACCACACCAACTGATCAAATATTCCTACTCATGACATGATTTTGAGAGAAGTAGGGTTCTTTTATCGTGGCAAGTTGTTCTTTCCTTCATCTTGAAGTGCACTTTTCCCTTTTGTTTGACATTTTACTACCTGGAGCGGAGGCTCAATGAATTGGAAATCCATGTAAATGAGGAAGCTCTGCGTTGAGTTTTTGATCCCAAACATCATTTGATGTCAGTTCGTGGTACGGCATTTCCATTCTGCTCCTCCCAGTTAACAGTCATTCATAATTTTCATGAATAAACCGTAGGCCTGTAAGATGCATACTTGTGATGAGTGTCATATTAGATTTGAGTTGTATTTCTCTAAATGATCATTCAAATTTGCTTTTGCTCAAAGTTTCATGCCCACAGTCTGGGAACCCAGGTATATGGTTTCTAAATTTCTTAAGTAGTATTAGATTTTTTCTTGGTAGAATCTTGTGCCCATTGTGATAATTATTTCGTATCCCAAGCCTTGTTTTGTTTTCATCATTGAGTGAATATTAATATATTATATTATTATTAAAACATTATATACTATATTAATATGAAAACATTTCTCACCTTGTGCCTGCCACTGGCTGTGGTATGATGCTTTCAATTCCTACAGGTCCACCTGATGCTCCTCTGGATGTACAGCTGGAGCACGGTCCCTCCCCGGGGATTGCCCTCATCAGCTGGCTGCCAGTCACAATAGATGCGGCAGGGACCTCCAACGGAGTCCGTGTCACTGGATACACTATATATGCTGACAAGAAAAAGGCAAGAACGTGGAATTTTCTGTGGGACTTTCCTTTCAACCAAGCATTTTGTTATTGTTTAATTTCAGTGTATATCTATCTTTCTATGGGATTTTGTAAGCTGGCATACGGTTTTATGATGTCCATGTGACATGGCCATTTTAAAAACACACCTGTCATTCTCCTATCCAAGGTGCTGGAGGTGTCTTCCCCAACAGCCGGCAGTGCCCTGCTGGGCCCCTCTCAGATCCAGTCCCTGCAGGCAGCTCAGGATCTCACTGTCCGCACCATGTCCGCCCATGGGGAGTCCTGTGACTCTTTTCCAGTCAATGTGCCCTCCAAGCTCGCCGCCATCATGGCAGGTCCAGCTATCACCACCCCAGTTGTGCCACCCCTACCCTGCACTCCTGCAGAATCCAGTAACCTGCCCTCACCACGGTCCTACGGGAACTCTGCTGCCAAAGTCTCCATGCTGCCCAGCAGTTTGCCATCAGACACACACATCGCTGGCCTCACAGTGGAGGTTGCTGCCAACACTCCTCATGCTCTCCACTCAGAAGGTCTTCTCTCATCTGCCTCATATGTGCAGGCCTGGGCCAACCCCTCGTCTGGTGCTGCCTTGGCTGTGTGTGAGGCCACATTACCAGTAGCCTCCACCATTAATCCAATGGTAATCCTCACTCTGCCATCTTTGCACATATAAGAGGCCACAACTTGTTTATTTTTCTAGATCAGAGGTTTTCAAACTGTGAGGTGTCGTCTCCAGGGGGGAGTGGGAAAGCTTAAGGGAGGATACTGAGAGAGAGATTTGAGGCAAAGGTAGTTCATGAGATGAGAGGGAGGGAGAGTTTTGGTGTATTAAAAAGAACAACAAGTTAGTTATTGTAGATTGGTGAGCTTATCAACACAGGCTGTGACATACAGCTCATGGAGCCAATTAAGGTAGTCTGGGCCCTGAGTGACACGTTTGCATCAAAATTTGTAATCTTTTTCTGAGTCACAGCTCAGTGAAATATTACTCTTTCCGTGGATATTGCCAATCGCAAACAAACTTCCATAAAGCTGCTCAGAAATAATAGTTTTCTCAGTTTCGTCTAATGGGGGGCCCACATTGTCAGACTGTCCTTGAAGTTAATTAGACAGTGTTGTACTGACAGTGTCTCTCATCTTCAGGTTAACGTGACCTCCCCCACCAGCTCAGCACCACAACCATCCCCAGTAGCATCACCAGCACCTACACAATCACTAGTGACGGCAGCAGCAACAGCAGTGTTGGAGCAGCGCAGAGACACCGACAGCCCTGGATCAATACGTCCTTTCCCATCTATCACAGAGTTCATTGAGGAGTCCAGTGCCAAGCTCAGGACACCTGAGCGCATCCCTTCCCCACCCAAAGCCCCGATCACAGAACTCCTTAACCTTCAGGGCACTAACCTCCTCCAGCCCCCCTGCACTTCACCGCTGGAGTCCGAGGTAGAGGAGGAGCGAGAGAACACACGCTTGGTGTCCATTGAGGAGTTCTTGAGACAGGACCAAGAGCCAGCATACTGTAGGACACAGCAGGTCAGCCCCAATTTGTTGACACCTACTTACTTAGTCTTCGTTACAAAAATCTATACAGCACGTAGGCGTAGAGGAGTCAGTTGTAAGCCTGTAAATGAAGTGGGATTGTTGCAGGAGTTTCAGTCAGCGCCAGCAGAGCTGAATATTTCCTGCTGGTTTTCCAGGTTAATTACATTAATTATATCATTAGGAATGATTGTTTTATACTGCTGAGAAATACTGAAACTGTGAAATAATAATAAAAAATTCTGGGCCATGTTGTCCCTGCTGCTGTGGTATTAAAATATGTGGTCTAGTTGAGATGCACCCTGCAGACACTCTGATTAAATATACTTATTTAGTTGATAAGTATATTTCACAAGTATATGCCTTGGGACAAAGCCAGAAGACCGTACAAAGCCCAGCCATGTTCTATATTTAATTCTGCAGTATAGCTTTGTTTAATGTGTGCATTAGTATCAGCAACATGTTATTGGTTAACTTGCAGATTTATTTATTTTGCTCAATATTCAATGGAATGACTAATGAGGATATGAAATGTACATTTCTTTGCAGAGTTATGGCAGAGGGCTTGTGGAGCCTTCCAGTGACCAGTACCATGCAGACAACAGTCGTTCAGATCTGTCTGACATCCTGGAGGAGGAGGAGGAGGATCTTTACTCTGACCACCTTGGTGAAGCACAGGGCAGAGGCTACCACGTTGGAGCTAACAGGGTAAAGGAATGAGTAACTAGATATTTTCTAGCCATGTAGTGTACCCACATTTGCACAGGCACTTTGTGGGATTAGTTTGATTCAGTATGCTTCTTTCAGTTTGTCTTGTCATTGTCCTCGTTTCTCAGTCATATTTTTGATCATGCATGATTGAGATTGTTTTTGTTTTTTCTTCCTCTTTCTTTTCTCTTTCCTCTGCATCACCGGGTTGTCCTTTGTTTTGTCTGCACTTCCCTTATTTTCACTGAACGATATGATATCCCATTGCCACCAACCCATTCTTACTCGCTTTGACCTGTGGCCCTTGTAGTCACGCAAGTTGGAGACCCCAGACAGTGATGAGGACGTTCTTGAGAGGATTCTAAAGTTGCCTCCTCAGGTCTGCCACAACAAGCAGCTGTTCATCATTCCTGAGGTGACAGAGGAGGAAGATAGCAGTCAGGAAGAGCATTTCATCCACAGTCAGCCTCGGCCCAGGTCCAGCCGTGTTCACCCCAGAGACTCAGAACGCCTCCATCATGCCCCCCAGCACCACTCACATCACCCCAACCCACACGCTCCCCCTCACCATCACCACTACAACAGGGATCCCAGATCTCTTACCAAAGAGCCTTTACTCAGGCATGGACCCTTGCAGGTCAAGCCTAAGACACAGCATAGGGTGCACTACGCAGATACAGTTGACACCATCAGTTACCCTGAAGAAGAAGACATGAGTTTATATGAGGGTCGCACCAGCAGGCGGGTCTCGGCCCGCTGTCCTCCCCAGCCGACCCCCAACAGCAAAGAAAGAGTACTGCTCAGAGGGCTAGGGGACCGCCTTAGGAGGGAGGCCATGCTCAGGAGTCAGATGGCTGTTGCCGCGGCAGCCAACCCCGGCTATGGTCTTACCCCGCCAAGACCCTACCCAGTCAGCAAAACAGTACCGACTCTGAGGTCCCCTGTCAGTCGCGGGGTGGAGATTGACGTAGAGTACGGCACAGATGACAACGAGGAGCCCGTGGAGTACGGTCCCAGGGAGGTGGTGACAGAGCAGATGAGTTCTGAGTGGTGGGTAGAGGGGGCTCAAATGGAGCCCTGCAGACCTATTCACCGCCGTGGGCTGAAGGCCGATCCACTGGTAAATGTTCCTGCAGGCCAGCTACAACGGGTGCGTTGTCCTGCTCCCTCCTCCTCCCCGTAGCAGTGTGGATCTAACCCTCTGAGTCCTTTAGTGGATATCACTTAACTCCATTGCTCAGTAGATCTACGTTTCCATCATCCTCACTGCAGTGGACAGAGGGAGGTTAGGTGGTACATTTTATGGCACATTTTGTGAGTGCAATATATAGTATTTTATTTAATAATGGCACATTAATCAAGTTGCCAAGATGTGGCAAAAACAAGTTTAAACCTTCATCACCCAGTGGCTCCAGACTTGTAATCTGCATAAGATTTTGTGTCAGCCATCAGCGTATCTGAATCTGTTCTCCCTCTGGCTGACTGCACCTTGGAAACCACTCAGCGCTTGTCTTAAACTAGTCAGTGCTGCCTTGTCCTGCATTAGCTTACAGTGGATGTGCTTTGGTCTGTGTCTGCACCACCACCACAAAACAAAAAAGGAACATATGTATGTTGAAACAGTAGAATGATAGAAACCCCTGGGTTTTTTTTTTGTTTTTCATGAGGTCTCCATCTTTACTGACATGACAAGTAACTCAGATGGATTAGCATTAGCTGAAACATAGATTATTGTTTTAAAAAATGAACAGGTGTCCTCTCCTCCCCAGTAGTGAATGTGTTTCTGTATTACACGTTTGTCTTATTGTCTTGTTTCTTTTTCTGTATGTTGAGCAGGACTCCAGCCAAATCCCTCCAGCTGATGCAGGTCCGTCGTGGGGAGCCCAGGCTGAGCTTTCTTCTAAACCAGCATGCTTGCAGACCAGGCAACTCAAAGGTCAGAGACTCTTTCCTCTTTTGTTTTCCTGGTTTCCTCTTACTAAAACATGCAGTGGAAATGTATGCTGCGACGCTGAAAACACCTGTGCTTTCTGTTGGCAGTTCTCACACATGATGGTAGTCAGATTAGCACCTTGTGTAGGAAGGGAGGGAGGGGAGAGGGTCAGGGAGGAGGAGGTGCTATAGTTGCAGTGAAGAAGAGGGAGAGAGCCTGCTAAGCTGAGAACCGGCTTAACCCAAAGTGGCTTGTCATGACAGGAGGAAGTGACAGACATTAAAATAGTAACCTCGATTAGCCAGCAAAGAAACGGCCTGCAGTGTGGACGTTTGAGCCCCCTCTCATCATCTTCTCCCGCTCTCTTCCTTTTCTTCTCAGTTCCTGTTGTGATGACACAGGCCACGCACTCATTCAGTAAACCTGACCTTTCTGGTATATGCGTGGGTGCACAGTTGACTACACACACAAATGCATAAGTGTACACGTGCGCATAGATAGAGGAAGGGAGCAGTGAGAAGTTCTGTCCTATCTACTAGAATATCAGTGAGGATGTGAAAGTGTGCAAGTTCTCTGCCCGTGACTTTTGCCACAGATGGGCTGATTCTCCCTAATGAGATAGAGAACACGTCTCTTTGGTGCAGCTTAAAGTCTCGCTACAGCTCTTCAAATGTTTTGCTCGTAGTCGAATAGGCGACACATCAGCCACACCGGTGTCATAACTATGTTGGTATGCTTTGGACAGTGCTTTAAGTCAAATTGAATTGCTGCTTTGCATGACATTCCACCTTCTTTTTGTATGTAAGCTTGTGTGTCGTCATTAAACGTCCTCAGATTTAGATTAGAGAGTGGGTCAAACACTGTTTCCCCCGTGGCTTGCTTGCTGCAGATCATGAACGGGTGCACGTTTGTCAAACGGCTCACACAGCTTAGGATCAGTGGTTTAGCTTGATTACCTCTTTTAAGGACATGCCTGTGCTCGGCGAAAACTGCTCAGAGAGGCACTGCAGTTGGTGGGCAGTGGGGGAGGGGCATGCTGGCTGTACTGTTTGCAGAACTCATTGCAAGCTATGCATGGCTTGTGTGCGAAGTAGTGTAATAGTAGTGACAATAAAAATGTTATAAAGACAAAGTTTACAAGGCAAAAGAAAAATGAATTGCATTGAGGCAAAAATCTATATAGAACAATGCAAACATGAACACAAAGAATTATATATTATTTGTTTTAAGCAACAAGCCAGACTTGTTAAACCTATAGAAATACTTTCAAGAGGTTACTCATTTAGTGCGGGGGTCTTAATACAACCAGAGCTCTAAACAAAAGGAATGTGTGAATCATTCAGCTGAGAACACGCATCATTTAATGATGGCAGTCGTGTTCCTTATGCCCCTTGTTGGCAAATTAAGCATTGTCACTGTGTGTGTGTGATTGCAGGTGGGGTTGATTCGTCAAAGGTGAAAGGAGACAGTGATATACGTATCTTTGTGGCCCTCTTCCCTTACGATCCTGCCACTATGTCACCCAATCCTGATGCTGCTGAGGAAGAGCTGCCATTCACTGAAGGACAGATCATCAAAGTACGTCCCCACACAGCTTACACTCTATGTATACATATATATTGTGTGTGTGTGTGTGTGTGTGTGTGTGTGTGTATATATATATATATATATATATATATGAAGTCAGCAATGTTACAGAAGCGTGTGAAAGAGGCATTAGAGTTGACCTCATTCCATTAAAGTAGATACATTTTTACACCCCTCTCCTCAGGTTTACGGAGATAAAGACCCAGACGGGTTCTACCGAGGAGAGTCTGGTGGTCGTCTGGGCTTTGTGCCATGTAACATGGTGTCTGAGATCCAGGTGGAGGATGAGGAGACCCGGCAGCAGCTCCTGCAGCAGGGCTTCTTGTCTACAGCGGCCTCCATGGAGAAGATAGGTAGGTGAAACTGTCACTCTGAGGTTTAGCAGTTCTGTTAGAGTTACAGATTGGTACATTTTGACATCCTTTACCATAGGTGTAATTTGTAATGTTTTACTCATGATTTCACCGCTGTTCATGTTTAAGTGGGAAGTGAAAATAGCAGCACATGTGTTGCAGAATCCACACCGAAAATATCCATCATTCAGTTCATTTTACTTTCCTGGCCTTCACATTGGCCGGCTGTGTAAAGCGACACTTTCAAAAAGCTGTTTTCCAGATGAGACTTGGATTGGCCTGTTGATCTTTTAACGTAACAGGAAGCACAATGAAAGCCCTCATCAGATCAGATTACATTTTGGTTCAAATACATTTAAATGGACCCAAAAATGTTCCCTGAGGCTCTACTTTGTATGTATATATGGGTTCTTGTTCACTGTGTTGCTATTAAGGAAATCATAACCATCTATTCTCAGTCACTGACTGCATTTCAAGCAGGTGTCTAAAAACATAAACTCAAGTCAAAGTGTTTGCCTGTGGTGAGTGGTAGCGAGCCACCCAGCAAAGTCTTTGCTTCTGTTTCCTGCTTTCTACCCAGAGCGGTATTTGCAGATGGTTTAACCTTTTCCCTTCCACTTGTTCTCACTGCTGTGTCTGCTGCTCACTGGTTGTCATTTTTAAATTGCTCTTCACTGGCTTTTCATTGTCTACTTTGTCCAGTCTGCTTCTCTCAAAAATTGCACCTCTGTGTTTCTTTTTGGTTTCAATTTTTTATTTTTATTTTTATTTTTGGTTTTCCTTTCTAAAACTCCATAAAGGCACTCGCACACATGCACAGCTTCCGCGTCGCCCTGTTCCACCGCCGAAACCGAGACGATCCAAGAAAGGTGTGTCTCGCTGCAGATTGCGGCTTCCCACCTCTCTCCTTTATTCTCTTCTCTGGTTTGCTTCTCTTTCTGTCTCTTTCACTTGAGCTTTCAGTTGCTGCTTCTCACTCAGAGACCAGGGGGGATTTTTAGGTCAGCTACTGTAGTAATTAAACCAGACAACTTCCCAGCATTAGTAGCTGCAGTAGTTTCATTTTCTATAATTAAGACCAAACTTAAGTCCAAACTTTCTTTATTAGTGCTCATAGGCTCCCCAGAGTAACTTCATCTTTCCACAGGTTCACTTTTGATTTTGACAGCTTCACAAATGTAAAAATGCCAATACATGAGTACTGAGTCAGTCCTGTCAGCTTCCATTGGCTATTGATGTAATGCAGTGCAGACATAGCAGCAGAATGTGGCAGCATGTCGCTTATTGATTGAGAAAAAAGTGCCAGTATTCTGCTCCCATGTCACAAATGCATTACATGATCACCTAAAGTTCACTTGTTGAAGCATCCATCCCCTCTGATCTCCATCTTTGACTTTGTGAACTGCGGTGTGATGAGACATACTGTAACTTCAGACAGGATTATTCTCATCATTTTGTGATTGTGCTTATGCCCTTTTCCCTCGCCCTGTCTCTTCCAGTGGAGTCTGCAGCACTCTGGGAGGAGAGCGTAGACTCCTCCAGCCAAGGTTTGTAGTTAGCGCTTTGGCCCTCTGCCTCTCTGCTTGCACCCGCATGATCCGACGACCACGTCAGTGTCCACTGGGGGACAGCATGTGTTTACTTTCCATTACCTTTGACCTCTGTTTATTAATGGTTGCACACAAGAGGACTGTGTTTTAGCTGCTGATAAACCCGGGGCTCATCCTTATAAAGGACTGTTTGATTATTTGGAGGTATAGTGACGACGTTTGACCTTCTTTAAAGATCCTCAATAAAGGATGTTAAACAAAATGCACTTTCTTAGGGTTTTTAAATGATGAAAGTTAAAGGAAATAATAAAACTGGTAGCATAAAGTACCAAATCTAATATCTTGTGTTCTTACGTTCTTCATAATACCCCAGTACTAAATGTCAAGCAGTCCTTTTCTTAACTCTTTTCATTTCACAGTTCAAGTTGCATCATTTAATCATCAAATCATTTCTGTTGTCTTCATTTTTACTAACGGTTTTGCAGAGTTCAGTACAGTCTTCATTCCACAGCAAATGTTTGCTTTGATTGATGATTAAAAACAGCAGCACATCTGAATAGAAATGCTAACTGTCACTGCTAATCTCCTGTTGTTTTCATTTTTATTTTCATGTGTTGTTTGACTGCAGTGGTGTGACTTTTCCTCAGCTTAGCATGACGCTGAGTGACATGCAGACACGTTGAGCTGCATGCCGATGAGCTGATTGGAATTGCAGAGACGTGTTAGTCCTCTAATTATCAGGATGTCAGACTGTTTGTCCCTCTCTGTTTGACTGACAGATCCCAGCCAGACTGCTGCTGCTGCTCCAGCTGTGGGGAACCTGGCCCCAGGAGCTCGCAGGATGGTCGCCATCTTTGATTATGATCCACGAGAGAGCTCCCCCAACACCGACATAGAGGTCAGACCTGCACATGCGTGATATATTTTTTTGAGATAAAGTACTATATGTGTTGTAGTAGTTTTTGCTCATTATCTGACTCGTTTTTTATATATTCAGGCTGAGCTGACCTTCAGTGCAGGAGACATCATACACGTGTTTGGTGACATGGACGAAGATGGCTTCTTCTACGTAAGTGTTGGCAGAACTCTAGAATTTGAAGTGGTCAGATCTACATATGATAAGATTTTGAATGAAATAAATACAATTTTAAAAAATAAATGAAGAAAATTAGAGAGAGACTATATACAACTATATACAATATTTACAGTAGATTACACTATACGTATTAAAGTGAATAATAAATATAATATACATAATATATAAAAAATATAGATTATATATGATACCCAGATAGCAGAATTGCTTTGGCCCAAATCTGGGCCACACCCAACTCTTTCATCTGCCCCACATACCACATGGGATGATTTCACTTGGGCAGTCCGCTCCTCTTTACCACAAGCTGAGCCACAAGTATACCGTAGCAGGGCCACAGGTCAGCCAAGAACAACCAAATAAAGCAAAACTGGCCCCTTGGGCGGTTGGCATACCATGGTACCATGGTATAATATATGTGCAGTATATGTAATATACATACACTATATAGTAATAATATAATACTGTGATGTACATATAAATAACAGGAATTGAAAAGAAAGCCATATAACATATAATATAAAAATACAATGATAACAATAGTAGCCGTATAGTAGGGGTGCAGCTAACAGTTATTTTCATAATTTCATCATTAAGATAATTAGATAACTAGATTCATCGTTTGGTCTGTAAAACATCAGAAAACAGTGAAAAATGTGCATTATTATTTCTTAAAGCGCAATGTAACATCTTCAGATGTCTTGGTTTGTCAAACCACAACCCCAAAATATTCTATTTACTCTGACTAAGACCAAGAAAAGCATCAAATTCTTACATTTGAGAACCTGGAACCATCAAATATTTTTTGCATTTTGCTTGAAAAACATTTAATTGGTTGTCAAAATAGTTGTTGATTCATTTGCTGTTGATTGACTAATTGTTGCATTTCTATAATATATTATTCTTATACAGTGATATAAGTAACAAAGTTAATGTGTGACAAGGTTTTCAGAAAGTAGGCATTTCTGTTGTCTGTAACAATGAAATAAAAACCTGCAGAGCATGGATTTAGTTGAATTACAGCCTTGATGTTAGAAGCCGCCCTTATGATTTAATGTCGTATTCTTCCTCCAGGGAGACTTGAATGGACACAGGGGCTTAGTGCCCTCCAACTTCCTGCAGGCCTTACCAGAGGATGCTCCAGCAGAACTGGTCTCTGCTCAGCCTGCACCAGAACCCAAGAAAGAATCACAGGTAGCACAGCATGTCTGTCTATCCAGCATGCACCACTGTATATGGAGCTGTGGACCGCCTCATTTATGTGACATTTTCACAAAGCGGTGACATCAGTTTTTTTTTTACTGTATTTGTTCATCTCTTGCAAGTATTTCCAGAGTCTGGTTGCAGTCGTTTTTCTATTCTGTTTCTTTAATTCTGCCCTGTCACATTTTTTTTCACCCCGCTGTTTCCTGCATGGCCTTTTGCAGAAGCAGAAACGAACTGTACACTTTGAGACTTGATCGTAAGTGTTTACAGATGAGACTATAGCAGCTCAGTGATCGACACTAGTGTCCCCTGTTCACTCCCCGTTTACGTCCTCTTACCTTAGCTGTAGTTCTACACCGCTCCTTTGAGTAGGCTCCTGCACCCTCCCTTGGTTTTGGTTTATTAAAACTGATAAAAAGTTGAGATCTCAAATCCACCTTTGTGTGTGTACTGTCCTTGTGTTTCCCCCTGGTATTATAATTGTAATCATAATTAAGCTTTAGATAATGTTTGATTTGCATTAAGACTACAATATATTTGGCACGCTCGTTCTGAAAGTCTTCCTTTCTTCCTAAAGGGTACCTTGACGTCTTCTACAGCGCCACAAGATCCTGGGCCCTCAACACTAGAAGAGGCTTTGGACCCCCAAACAGAACCTCCTTTCACTGACCCAACAGAGCGCACAGACCCACAGCCCAAACCGGCAAGCCCCACTTCAAGCCACACTGCAAGCCCCACGTCAGACCTGGACCCTGCTCCAGGTCCAGCTGCAGCGGAGACCAGCTGCTCCCCTCCAGCCCCCCTCCCAGCAGCAGACAGCCCGACACAGACTGACTGCTCTGCACAAAGCAAGAAGAAAAAAGGCTTTTTCTCCAAAGGCAAGAAGCTGTTCAAAAAGCTGGGATCCAGCAAGAAAGAATGAGAGTCAGGACATCTGACTCTGAATCCTCGCGTCACATTGAAAGCACTTTTTCTATCTTCACTGTTAGTCTCAGTTGGTAGTCGGCGCTGTTAGTGGCTATCAGATCTAATAACTGATGTTTTATAAATTATACATTTGCCTTAGAGCACTGCTAGACCCGCTGTCAAATTTAGAGTACTTCAGCATACAGCTTACAGCATCACAAGAGCATGTAGAAGCGCATGTTGAAGTGTGCAAACTCACAAATATATCTCTTCCTAATTATCTAAGCATTTGCAAATGTTCAACTCGTTAGAGGCTTTAATGCTTGATATAAAACACTTAGTTCTTCCTAATGGATCAGATTTATGTAGAACAATCTGATACAGAAGGATGTTGAAAAAGCAGATCAGACTTCAGCCCAGGCACAGCTAATGAAATATTAGCTTTAATGTTCATGTACTGGTGCCACTTTATTTATTTGAAGCGAACGAACAGAAGCAGCAGTCTATCTCTTCCTCTGCGAGACTATAAAGAATGCACTATCCATCCTGAATGGATGTATTTTAAATATGTCTGCTTGTCCCTCGTGTGTTTCTCGTCTTTAAGAGTATTTATACAGTACTTTGTACAGAACATGTTATTTATTTGTATCAGACTCTTGCCCTAATCGTCACCACATTGCATGAAGTGACATCGGAGCAGGAGGGTAGTCGTAGAGAGCTGTCAGAGACGGTGATGATCCACTTTGTGTAGTTTAGATCTAATCTAATGATGGTTTTTGAGGTTTATGTAAGCTGAACATAATGTTTAATGCTGAGAATGTGAAGGTTCGTCCTTCTTTGTGTGTGTGTGAGTGAGTGTGTGTGAGTGTGTGTGTGAGTGTGTGTGTGTGAGTGTGTGTGAGTGTGTGTGTGTGTGTGTGTGTGTGTGTCTGTGTGTGGGTGTAGATGAAGCTGCCCAGTCCACTGGTGAGACTGAAAACAGATGCCTTTCTCAGACATTAACACAGGAACTCTTGATGTTGGTGACCACAGTCACAACTGGCCTAGAATGTTGCATACGACATACTTTCTGTCTGTGTGTGAGTGTGAGAGAGAGAGAGACCTGCAGCGTGTGCAAAACAATGTAGTACCTGCCGATCATTATCTAATAGGGCTGCAACTAATGATTAGTATAAAATCGTTATCAATTCATCTTTTGATTACTTTTAGAAAATATTTTCGGGGGCTTTTATGCCTTTATTTGATAGGACTGAGGAATATAGGCAGAAAAGAGGGGAGGGGGGGTGTCATGCAGCAAAGGGGCCCCTGCGGTAAGGACTCTACCAGGTGAGCTACCATGCCCCCCCTTTTTTGATTATTTATTTCTATTTATTGATTCATTGTTTGGTCTATAAAACATCAAAAAACAATGAAACATGCCCACGTTGCCCATATACGTCAAGATATTCAATTTATTATAAAGTAAGACAACAAAAATTATTTATTATTTTAAATAAATTTTTTCTTGATCAATTTATTATAAAGTAAGACAACAAAAATTATTTTAAATAAATTTTTTCTTGATCAACTAATCCCCAACCCTAACCCACAATTGAAAATAGTTGGATTGATTCATTAATCAATCGACTAATTGCAGCTCTAAAAAGTTATACATAGTCTGTAGGCCTTTGGGGTTCAGTATTGAACGTAGCATGTTGTGTGTTTTTAAATATAACACAACTAACAGTTTTCAGTTATGGCACTGGTGGTTTGTGGCACTGCTGTACTGTGATAGACTGCAATAAGTTGTTTCTGTATCTTTTCTTTTTTGCCTCCACGTTAAGAGTGTAATGAAGTTCAACATGCGGTGTGTGAATATTGGGTCAGACAGGCTAGAAACAGTGTTCTCCATCAGCCCATGCAGTGTAGTGGTGAGGAGTGGTTTAAGTTAAGTGACACAACTTTAGCAATATGGCGTGTTGTGGGCTGCAATACTAGAACAAAAAAGACAAGCATTCGGTATCTTTCAGTGGTTTGTGACAGCTTTACTGGACTGAAGATGTGTGGATGTGAATGTGTGGAGCAGGCCTTAGTATTCAGTCAGTCAGTCACAACACATGCAGTGATTGTTCCCTCCATCTGATTGGTTCTTTTATCTGTGTGACACAGGGCTGTTCGGTAACTTCTCAGGTTTTAACTTGTAGTTTCTTATTAATGCTGAGCCACCTGTGGACTCTGGCTGTCAAAAACTGCAGAATATGCCAAAATCTTAGGTGCTTTGCCTGTTACTATAGCTACGAGAGGCCAAGCATCCGGCAGCGTGGGGGGGGGGGTTACTCTAGTCTGGGTTGAAGCTTTGTTTTGAAGATCAGACCTGATTTCACTCACGTTGTTGAAGTGGTTTGAGTCACACCTGATGACACGAGTTGGAGGCAAATGTTTTTCTTCTAATGTCCTGAATGTTTTCTGTCAGTGTTACATAAAGGGAGCATGATGATGCCAAGAAAAAACGGGATTGGGGCGGATTGACAAAGACACTTTAGATGTGAAATAGCCGGGATAGAGGCAAGACTGTATGTTTTTGTTTTATTTATGTTTGTATTTTTATTTTATTTTTAATGGGGGGGGGGGTGAATGGTTAAAAAGTTGCCGAAATGTACAGCGAATATTTGTACTGATCTCGTATTTGACGGCCTTTAATGCACAAGTTAATCCTCTACCTGCTGTGTAGTGAGTAGGCGGCTCCACTGTTGACTGAATAGGACCTAGACCCATATATGTAGTGTTTTAGCTCAGTTTGATCATATTTAGCCTTACAAGAAGACCTTGTTTAGTCTTAATATGTTGTTTACAGGATGTTTATTGACTGCATGCATACCAATGTTATACCCATGTTCGGCCTTATTTATGTTACTGTCATATTTTTGTTTTTCTAGGCTGACTTGTCTACAATGTTTGAGTTGTAGATTGTCGATGCAGTGGAAGGGAAGCTGTAAGAGCTGTCTGTATATAATGAACAGTGTTGGGACTTGTGGTATATTTTCATACAGCGCGGGAAACGTATTTTTTTCTTTTTTTTTTGTCTTTCCTGACCTGCATTCATTGTTTGAAACCAGTGGAAGATTCACCTTTTTATATACTCATGTTTTTATTACCCTTTTGGAAGCTCGTCTGTAAATATTTTTGTTAATATTGTTTTTCAGATTTTCCTTTTTCTTTTTTTTTTTTTTCTTTTTTTCTTTTTTTTTGCATGTCCAGGCATTGTCGATGGAGGAACAGTAACTAAAGATGTAGTACGCAGAGGACTTGAAATTGTGATGGTTTCTTTCAATATGGATCTTTTTACAGGAATAAAGTATGTATATTTTCACAGAAAATGCTGAGTTTGTAATGCATGTGGTGTTCGTGGACAACAGGAGAGAACACAAGATACTTTCTAATCACTTTTATTGCATAGCATACACATGTACATGATCGTCTCTCTTTCTTTGAAACAAATGAGTTCTAAAATAGAGGCAAGAGTTGCGAACTTTGCTCCGCGCCACACACCGCCCATGTGAACTGACTGGTGGCGACACTCTGGGTAATGTGTGGCCCTGTGAGACAAAGCAGCTTCCTCTTTTTGTGACTTCCTGCGTGGCGGGCACCATGTCGGGCCTCTCCTCTCTCCCTGAAGCCAACAGTACACTCATCCATAAAGTAGGAAACACTACACTGTGGCGAGGAGTTTAGTAGTGCTTTCTACTTTATGGATGACTGCACTGTACATCCACCGATCCTCTTCCGTCTTCTGTCTTCTCCCACTTCTCTCTTCTTCTGCACCTGCGCTCGGGTCTGCAGCTGCACACACACACACACATCAACCCAACCCCCCCCCGCCCAGACACACACTTCTACACCAAACTGAAACCTCTCAGCTCAACGCACACGCAACACTCAAACAGCCCTCGCTTTTGTCAAACCAGAAAAAGCACACTTCCTGATTTGTGTTGAAACATTTGCATGCATAGCTTTTCAGTCGGCTCTTCCAAATCTAAGTGAGACCTATTAACATTTTTGTTAAAGACAAAGGACCCCGCCTGTATGCCTCAAAAGCTGCTCCCATCAGAACAGTTTTTGAGGCAAAAGTCAGAACTTGCCAGAAGGGCTTGCCAGAGGAAGCGCTATCTTGAGGAAGCCATTTTGGCAGGCATGAGTAAGCTTTTCTGTCTGAGCAACAGATCGCCCTGTACAATCAAAAGTCATGTAAAAAAAAAAAAAAAAAGGTTAAAAAAATAAGTGCAGACATTTGTTGTCAGATCAAAAACAAATTAGAGTGAATACAAAAAGATCCAGCAGATAAATTAAACACTTAAACATACAAATAAAGTCACAGTAGCAAAAGTGGATTGTTCAGTTTTAAGTACAATGTTTTTTCATCAAATTCCAAATGGAGTTCTGAATAGAGGTGACTTGCATCAAAGTTACATCAAACAAAAGCAGAAATAAAGAAGTAAAAGTTTTAACTCTGGCATATCGGTCATGATCTGACACAGATAAAAAGCATTCTCACCATGTCGTCTATAATAATTCTAACATTAAATAGATACCATCGTCCATCATACTTCACCTCTACCTTCATTTGTTTTCTCGGTTTTGAGTGACGATTGTCCGGCAGCCTCACAGGTGTCTTCTGTCCGTCCAAGGAGTGGATGAAGAAGAAGAAGAAGTTGTCTCCTTTTGAACCCTCCACAACCACGTGATATAACCACAGGAAGAGGTCTAACAGTCACAGGCGCTCTCTTTCTCTTCTTCCGTCTTCACTCCCTGCCTTCTGCAGACGCTTTTTTAAAAAGCTGACATTTTTCCAGACTTTATGATGACACAAACTGCGCGGGGAACAGCATTATCACAACATTGGAGCTTTCTGAGTGTTAAATACAAACATTAGAACATCCCAGATTTCCTTTTAATTATTGAATTATTATTATTATTATATTCAAATCAAATTCTTTTAAGGCTTAAAATCAAATTTTCCATATTGACTGTGTCTGTACCGGCGTGATGATGATGTCATTTCTACTCATGTAGACATACAGTTTGTCTCCAGCACATTGCAATATGCAGTTGGGTAATACGCCCGTAATGAAGTGGAGAACACTGTGAGCACATCTGCAGTGATCCCATTAAGTGAATGTGAACTATTTAGAGCGTATTGCACAATTATGTTTCACATTAACTTCATCTTATTAACAGTTTCACATGTTGTGTGTGTGTGTGTAATACGTCAAGTACACTTCCTTTGATCATCATTAAGGGCTCGGAGCATGCCTGTTCATGCCTGTTTGTGCATGAATAACTGCTCAGATGACACAGAGGAAGGTTCGGTGATGTGAGTCAAGTACCTGATGAGTAAAACAGTTCCTGTGAGGTGACTGATAATCTGACTTTCCTTTGCTAGAAATAGAAACGTCTCCCAAGTGTATTTACTGTGAGTTGAGTTCACTGTCACTGAAGTGTCGGTTTGACTGAACCGAAGCCCACCAACTCGGATAGAAGCTGCAGGATGAGAGGCTCAACAGCAGCACTGTGAACTGCAGGGAGGTGTTTTTTTCTTTTAGTTTATTCAGAATGAAACAATCTGAACTGAAATCAGTTGTGAAACACCAGAATATATCATTAAAGGATAGATTCACATTTTTTCAAGTGAATCCTCATACAGTACTCAGATGAACTGTTACTGGTGGCAGGAAGAGAGTAACGGTTTCTGATCCACAATCCACAGTCGTCACTTCAGAGTGCACTTTCTGGATTTTGTCCTCCATCCCTTGAGAGGATCTCTTTGTGAATGAATACTGGCATGTGAGAACAGTTTTCAAATGGGAACCTATCCTTCCATGTAAAAGTCAAATGCAGCCAGTTTTTTCTAACCTGCGTGTTGTTGTTAAAAAGACGACTTGTTTGCATGGTGAGCAACATGTGCGTCACTGTGATTGCCATTACCTTTCTGCTGGTTTTCAAAAGTGAAAGGCAGGTTTCAATTCCTCGTAAATGTAAATGTCCAACTTTTACTGCGTGGTTTCTTATAACGCACAGAGCGGGTCAAAAAACACTGTGGATGATGAATTAAAGTCACACTGAGGACATTTAATAATGATGCTTTAGCATGTGAGTTTTATTAAGAACGCACTGAAGTGTTTGGTAGGGTATAAATGCAGCCTTTTACAATCCTAAAAACAATTCAATAGAAAAGCAGCTTTTCTCTTTTCTGCTCCTCTGGTAGTTTAATCTAGGTCACCAAAATATCTTAAAGAAGCTCCAGTAGTGATGAACGGGCCTGCCTGTGTGCACAGTGACACAGTGAGTGGATTCATTTTCTGATTACCAACTGTAACACACAGCAGTGATAATGGAGCTGGTTTATTCAATAAGCTCCAAATAACTTTTCTGTTGCTCATATATACTCATTCAAGCAGTGACTCAGGTTTACTTTTAACCTCTTTACAACTGCATTAGGGTGTTAGAAACTCTTAAATGCGTGTGTAGTGCTGTACTACTGTATAAATGCTAAACGAGGGCGGGAGTGTTACCACAGTAAAATATGCGAAAAAGGTTTGCATTATTTTTAGTCCTCACAGCTCCATTTTATGTAAACTGGCCTGATAAGCTCTACTTAAGCAAAAGTTCAGAACATGTATTGTTCATCCCTGTATAGGGCTGTGTGTTAGCAAGAATGTGGTGATATGATATGTATTACGGTACAGGGGTTACGATTCAATATACTGCGAGACAGTAAGCAGGGTGATATTTTGTTTACAAAACTTTACTAAATGCTTTTCAGAATCGATACAACAACACAAAATAAAATGTTGCAATATGATATTTTTCTATATTTTCTTCCACCCCTATCCCTGTCACTGATATATTATGAGATATGACATTGATTACTGTTGTAGCTGGTTAAGGTTTTAGCTACTTAATGGTTCCCAAACTAGGGGTCAGTCCCCTCCAAAGGGTCACCTGATAAATCTGAGGGGTTGTGAGATGATTCATGAGAGAGGAACGAGGAAAGGTTCTGTTTTATGAGAGGTCACAAACCAAAAAAGACAATGTGTTATAAATTGTGCGGGGTCCGGATTTGTTCTCACACAGTTTCCCATTAAGGATTTGAGTGTGTATAGAAAGATGTGACGTGGTCAGGTCCTCTTTAGCTTTATTCCCATGACATATAATCCCTCTGGGAGTTAACATAGGATAAGAGCAGACGTCATCCAGACATCCATACCTTTGAGGGCAGTGGATGGGAAACAAATCCTAAATGTGTGTGTGTGTGTGTGTGTGTCACTACACAACAAAGACATTAAAGAAAAGATGACACAGTTATGGCACAAAATTCATAAAAGATTGGGAAGGTGATCGGGGATGAGGATTCTGTGTATTCATCTGTTTATTCATCTTAAAGGGTCACTGACGCTCCAATTACAAATAAAACAACCACAATGAAGACTTGCTGAAAATATCCAGCATATGGCGTCTTTAAAAGTCACACTTTTTTTTTTTTTTTTGATCCTTTAACCCTCCAATCTCCTGACCCGTGGCCTGCATTTTGTTAATCCATGCCCTCCTCAATTTACTGAGCCACTAGCCTCCACTGCAGCTTCATCTGGCAGACCACCACCAGTGTCTGTGCATGTGCCAGTGGGGAAGTGATCCTAACTCTGAACACTGCACTAAAGCTGTGGCCTTCCCCGAGCCCACGCTGCCTCTTGTGATAGACCTTATCTGGGCCGGCAGCCATTTCCCCTCCCTGCATGCGCTCTCCAAGCTCCTCCTGGGCCGCGGCCGGGTGTCGACACCACCGGCCGAGCCACCCAGGAGCTTAGATCCCTCCCAGACCCGCAAGCTCCACAGAGGCCTGAGCTGCTCTAAACCGGCTTCTACAGAGCACCAGTGGAAAGTAGATTTACTCAAGAACTTTACTTAAGTCCAGTTTTGAGGTACTTGTACTACTAGTAAATATTGAGAAATACATTTATTTGGCAGCTATAGCTAATTTTCAGATTCATTTTTTAAGTAAATAAGATGATGAGCTTCTAAAATACACATTGTTAAAGATTAATCCAGTGGTTCCAAACATTTGACTGGTTGGGGCTCATTGTCACGTCTTTGATGTCATTGAGAGACAGTTCTCCTCTAAACCTCTCACATGGTATCATTTAACCGCCTGGAGTCCAGGCTTAGTTTGGTTCACTTTGTCTTTGTTCAGCACCTTACCCCACCTGCATGTATCCTTTCTTTCAGCACAAACTCAAAGTCTGACTTCTCATTTTGTCAGTTTAACAAAGAATGAAGCTGCCAGGAACTGAAACTACAAGACAAAATGTACAGACCTTGATTGAGTGAAGCACCCAGAATATTATCATAGAACAGTTAAGGTTGTAAAAACATATTGTTACACTATTCATACACACAAACACAGCACTCAGGTGGTAGAAATAAAAACCTTAATGCAGTCTATTTACATGTAAAGTGGTTTTATTACAACTGGTTTTGGGGATTATGTATATCTGTAAATCTGAAAACTACTGATTCACAGTTTTAAAATTTAAAAAACATTTGTTACGGTCTACAGACATAAATGAGTGTGTGAAAGCCCCATATGAGTACTTTTCTCAACGTATCTCTCCATGACACATAAATAAAGTTGTGTCACATAAGTAAGTAAAACATGCTCAGTGTGTTCAGCGATGAATTAACACACTCTAATTAGAGGCTTGAAGAGGCCCGATTGTCCCCTGCGGCTGTGTGTGTGTGTGTGTGTGTGTGTGTGTGTGTGTGTGTGTGTCCTGTTTTTCTCCTCTACACACTGACACTGTGAAGCAGATCACTTTCAGTTGAAGGAATTTAAATCCTTCAATATGATGAGCTGCTCTCAGTTCTGTAGCTGTTATCTAGTCTACATAAGAGAGGAAGTTTTGTCAGCCTTATGAAACACACACACACAGCAGTTTATGTGTGTGTGTGTGGCCCTCTGTTGATAATGTCCATCCCCTTACTTCCCTATCTCCACTTTATCCCTGTCAGACAAGAGCACTTTTCTAGCCTGAGTTGAAGAATCCTCCACTTTCCTTTTTTTTAAAACAGAGGTCACTAAGCAGCAAAGGCAGTATAAACCGCAGAGTCGATACCTCGTTTTCTGATCTAATACTTTCCCTTTAGCTTAAAGCCTTGACATATCCAAATAAGGGCAAAAGCCAGAGCTGTGAGCACCAATGAGGCTGTGGCAGACGGGCCTGTGTGTCCCTGCGAGTGTGAAAATGAAGGGCGTACTTAGTGCAACACTTGATGTGTAGAGGAGAGCGGCTGGGCGGAGCTGAAAGCCTTCCTGACAACGCCTGTGGTTGTCTTGCAGCACTGGGCCCAGTTCTCGGTTTCGTTTTTAGTTCGCAGCGCTCATGAAATGACTTCACCCACATGTAGTGTGGAAGAGAACAGAGGCTCAAATCACACGGGGAGAAAAGTGATTAAAAAACTGCACTTTAGTCTGGAATTGTATGGTTTTACATGTCAGAAAAGGGGTAAAACTGATTATGTTTATATGATAATGTTGCACTTGTCTACACACATGCACACAGCTCTGCTCTCTCAGTTACAAACCCACGCGGAGGCGACTTGTGGTTTATTTCTCATTTGCTTATAAACTGTCTCTCTCTCTCCGACCACAGAAGGTAGATTCTCAGATCAGTCTCGTTCTGCTGAAGATGGAAAGAATGAGAAATACTTAACAGTATGTACATTTGAATAACAGCCATAATTCATGTGTATGTTTTTCAGTTCAGTTTTTAGGTTCTGTTCAAAACTGCAAAGACATTTCCTTGAACCAAGAGGCACACCTCACTACTTCATATGAGTTTTTCAGTGTTTCATATTGACAGCAAAACAACAAATGAAGTCCCGGAAGCTGCTCGCTCCATATCAACTGTCCAAAATAATAATAAAAGAAACAACCATAACCTTGTGGCCCGAATTATATTTTTGACATCATGTCGAAGGCCGGAGGGGGGTGGAGGGCTGGAAATGGATGAATGAAAACTATTTATTGACTTCTAATTCCACCTTTAGATTTAGATTTCCACAATAATGTAATGTTTTTGAGTTCAAATATCTTCATTTGGTGGTTTTCCAAGTAAATATTGATATATGTGACATTAAATCAGCATAAAATTCAGTATATTTTCATTACTGAGACATTTTTAATACCACCCCAAGAGATAAAAAGACAACAGTAACAAATCAGATGAATGGCGCAAGAAGTAAAACAATATGAAAAGAACAGCCAGTCAACTGATTTTAACATTAATAAAAGGCTGTGTGTGACCTCACTGTGGCAGTGGAAGGAAAACCAAAGTTCAATAAACATCACCTTTTCTTTAGCAACGGTGCCTCTGCATCTGCTTTCTTCCTGTTAAGCTTAATGAGAAAATGATCACAGTAAGGTGTGATGGATAAGTAGTCCATTTAAAGTGGGAAATTGAAATGCGCTCTCAAGGCTACCAACCAATTATTTTAGAACCTTTCTAAAGAAGTTTGATTTGATGAGCCTCAGTGATCTGTTAATACTTACTAATACTAATACTAATGATTACTTTATATATGTGCAAACTGCTGAATGAGTGTTTCCATTAAACAGTCCTCACACGCTGTTACAACCTGCTTCTAGTGGAAACCTGGCCGCCCTGTCTCTGCCTGCAAAGAGCCATGTGACAGCTCTACGTGTGCCGCTCTGTGACCTGGTTACAGTACATCTTTCACTACAGTAAATAAGAAAATACTGATTATAGCATCATTCAGAATAAATCTCCTCCTGATATATCAACATTATTTAACATAGGTGTTACTTTCAGGTTCACAGTTACAGTATGAGCAAGTATAGTTTGGTTCTTTTAGGTCATAGGCAATCTGTCCAGAACAGTAAGGTAAGAAATGTTTCTACATACATGAAACTGGGTCAGCTTTCATATCATATGACAGAAGACTTTTTTAGGCTTTTTTCACCTCATGTTATTTTACTGAATTTAAACAGAAATATTAAATTTTTATGGTGGAAAACTGTCATGGCTTTTATCTGTACGTCATAAGGTAGCCCTCTGAATGCCTTTCACATGCTGTTCTGTGCTCTGCATCTTGATTATTATGAATTTCATTTCCAGGCAGTATTAGGGAGTGTGTGTTTTTGCCCTCATTCAGTTGTGAACTGGTAGTATGTCAGAGGATCCTGAGATAAAAACCATCTGCCACACTTCACTAAACCATAACCCAGTTGGTTTTTTGTTTGCTTTTTAAAGAGCAGGTTCACTAACCGTGCCTTTGCAACAAAATATGAGCAGCAGGTTCCAGTGCAATGAAACCCTAATCAAATCTAATAAGACAAGAGCGAGAGCTTAATGTGCTCACTTACAGAGATTCACAGAGTCCTCTGTGTGCATGACCCCGATCCATCAGGTTACAGTGAAATTACACAATACCCAGACCCTCTGGCCATAAACAAATATTGTTTCTTCCTACACAGTAATATAAGCCAACAATAGAGTGTTACAGCTGAACAGTATCTGATACACACAGCAGCACAGGATGACCACCTACAAACCTGAGATCTTCTTACAGGCTATTGTATAATGAAACTGTAAACTATCAACAGAAACTATTTATGACATGCAGTAGGTGAGAATCCTGCAGCTTTACACCACTAATAGTTTGAGTCCCCCTGCTGGTAGAGTTTGGTACTGCATGTAATTCAGCTCCTCAGTAAAAAGCACCATCTTGTGGCCCAAATCAATCAGCACAGAGATGTTTCATTAGCACTTGTTCAAGCCCAAAGTGATCAGCTGTTTGGTTCCTCCTCTCTGGTGTTTCAGATCAATAGCTGGCTCACTCGTTAAAGACTACAGCGATGAGTCAATGATCTGGACACGACTCTGTGTTGATACATGAGGAGGTATTTGAATTCTGAATGGTCTAACAACAACACCCCATAGCTATGCTAGCAGCTAAGTGGTTCTTTGGGTGAATTGCTTATGTCAACATGCTAACATGCTGATGTTCAGCAGGCATGTTTACCATCTTAGTTTAGTGTGCTAGCATGCTTTTACATTTGCTGATCATCACCAAACACAAAGTAAAGCTGAGGCTGATGGGAACGTCATTAGTTGTTGAGGTATTTGGTCATAGACAGATCTGATGGTGACTGAAAGGTTAGCAGCCAAAGATGCTTCACAAAGTTATTACAATTCATCCTGAGGGGGACTTGGATGTCTGATCCAAATTTCATTGAAAGTTATACAATAGTTAAGACACATCAGTGTGGACCCCAGTGGTGTACGGATGGACCTACATTGCCATCACTAGAGCTACACTGCTAACATGACTAGAAAGGAAATAATACATTTGGAATTAACTCATTATTCCTCTGAACGTGTTCTGTGTTTGTTCTAGTTGCTGTTTTTTGGGACATTTTCTGGGGATCTTCCAGTGTACGTACGGTCTAGCACAATGTGACGCTCCATAGAGCCACTGAATACAAACAGCTTTGAGACTGAGCTTGGATTAAAGTGCAGACTTTCTGTCCTCCACGGTTTTCATTCCTATCCCTGAATCAGCAGGCTCACTGTGTTTGCAGCATATGAATCAAGAATAAACTGGGATTTTATGACAATTACTCACATTTCTTATAAAACCAACCTTTATTTTTTTTGCAATTAATAAAAAACAAAGAGAAAACATCCCCTTTTTCTCACCAATAAGCCCTCATGCAAACATTTCTAATCACAACAAAAGACAAAAGTTCTAGGGCTCCAACAGCTGGAGGACAGTTTCATAAGACATTACAGACTTGATCAAATTTAGTCCCACTGGTGTTCCTTCTTCCTGGCGTTGGTGCTGCAGTGTCATACCGCTCTGACCAGACAACTGGAAGCAGTCCGGTTTATGTCTTCACTGCTGTATCTCTGGATTTGTAGATTACTCCTCTGCTTTTCAACTCTCTCACCACACCTTCAGAGAAGGAGAAAACAAAAGCAATGTAAACAGCAGGTAGGTGAAACAAATGTTTACTTTCTAAGTGTGCATGACTGGCTACATACTGAGGCAGTGCAGTTAGATATAGCGTACCTGGAGGTAGTCTGCCTGTCACTGACACTGCATATACACCTGGCTTGAAGTTGCCTGTAGGAGGGAGCAAAAAAAAAAAACATACACAAAATTATGAATTAGAAATAAAATGAACAGCATTGGGGTATACTACCTTAATCTTAGCCTTTAAGTATGGTCTTTATTGGCACTACATTGATTGATAAACCCATATAGATTGTTGTTTTAAGCAAACAATTTCAAATAAACCCACTGTGTATCGCCTGCCCTGCACCAAACAGCAGATTAGCAGAAAGTTAGCGGCTAGCTGGTGAAGGAAGTGGAACATGTAGCAGCTAAAGAGCCAGATATTTAACTCAGGAGTTGGCAAAGACCAAACTGGAGCTAAAATTACACTGAATGTTGCTTTAGTTAACCGAAACATGACTCAATAGGATAATAATGTTGCTTTGTGTCTGCTGAATGTGCAATCAGCAGCACTTTACAGGTTAGCTGCAACAACTTTATAGTTGGTTTATAGATAGTTAGCTAGTTTTATAAAGTTGTCCTGGTCAAAAATGGATTAATGCAGCTTTAAGTACAGGCAGACATCCTTACCTATCCTCTGCCATTTAGCAACCCAACTGTCCTCCGGACTCATCATGGCTATCACACTGTGGACACACAGACAGTATTGGTAAACATTCAGAAAACAATCCAATCCACGTGAACGCTTTTGAATCATCAATTCTAAATCAATGTTTACCCATCAAATGAGGAACTTGTGCATTCATAAACCATCTCTCGGTTCCCTTTCATCTGCAGGTACGACTCGCAGTTGTCACAGCCGTCATATTCAAACTGGTCAATGGTCTAAAGGAGACAAGAAGGAGAAGAGTGAATCCAGAGATTACAATAATGGATACAGATGTGTAAAGGAGCAGTGGATCCAGCTGAACACCCATCATGAAGGTATAACGGGCTGTGAGGTGTGTGTAGGTATAAACTATGGTGGCCCCGTCTACAGCCAGAGTTTGGTTTGTCCCTTCTGGGTTACTGTAGAAACATGGCAGACTCCATTGAAGATAAAAACAGCTCATTCTAATGTAATGAAGATACAATGATCCCTTACTCAGGTGATTACACACTAATGAAACACCTGAATGTGATGTTCCATATCTGCCAACAGATCCTCCTCAGAGTTACACTGGATCTCTACAGTGAGGGTTAGTGAGGTAGATACAAAGTAGATATAAAGTAGATATAAAATAGATATAAAGTAGATATAAAGTAGATATAAAATAGATATAAAGTAGATATAAAATAGATATAAAGTAGATATAAAATAGATATAAAATAGATATAAAGTAGATATAAAATAGATATAAAGTAGATATAAAGTAGATATAAAGTAGATACAAAGTAGATATAAAGTAGATATAAAGTAGATATAAAATAGATATAAAGTAGATATAAAGTAGATATAAAGTAGATACAAAGTAGATATAAAGTAGATATAAAATAGATATAAAGTAGATATAAAGTAGATACAAAGTAGATATAAAGTAGATATAAAATAGATATAAAGTAGATATAAAGTAGATATAAAATAGATATAAAGTAGATATAAAATAGATATAAAATAGATATAAAGTAGATATAAAATAGATATAAAGTAGATATAAAATAGATATAAAATAGATATAAAGTAGATATAAAATAGATATAAAGTAGATATAAAATAGATATAAAATAGATATAAAGTAGATATAAAATAGATATAAAGTAGATATAAAATAGATATAAAATAGATATAAAGTAGATATAAAGTAGATATAAAGTAGATATAAAGTCCTTCTGATGCTGTCAGTCCGGTAAATGTTCGGCTGTACCAACACTACCAACTACTGTCTGTCTGTCTGTCTGTCTACTGACGTTATATGTTGACGTTTGGCCAGACGACCAATGATTAAGTGGCCTGTAGAGTTGAATTAAAAGATGTGTGTGTGGTCTTCAGTCAGTCAGAGTCCACAGGAAAGCGACACTTTAACGTTTGAGCCTGTTTGTGAAACAACAGCAGAGAGCGGCTACATGTTAGCAGAGCAGCTAGCTTTACCTTCACTAAAGAACAAAGAAGACAGGCTCGCAGATGGCGAAGGTCTTTGGGGACCGTTTCCAAAGCCATTCCGTTAATCTCCGGGAGAAATACCTCGATAATGCGGAAATATCAAACGGATTGATGTTTACGAAATGGTCCAGTCGCCGGGGAATTACGTCACGTCTGTAAGGACCCTAGTAAAGAAGGAGCACAGGCGGCCCTATTGTGCGCCTGAATAAAAATTAAATAAAATATATATATATATCTCCGTCATTTAAAATAATCATCTAAGTTACTGGGATTGTGCTTGAATTGTTTTGTATAGTCACACATTTCATATTTGACCCACTATGTCTAGACACTTCTCATGAATATACTAAAACATATGTACTGTATTTCAACTGTCAATCTCTAAGAGATCCGGACCAGTGAAAACTTGTTGATCTTACTAAAACAGAAATACAAATAAACAAAGAGAGAGACAGATGGGTGCATGGATGCCTGCTTTGTATGCCTATTACAGGTAGATCTGAGCACACTGATTCCCTGTTAGTCCTAGGACACATTTTAAAATCCTGTATATTTACAGACTTCCCTGGTACCATACTGTTGATGCCATGTTTATCTCCCTAATGGAGCCCTTTGATACACACACTCTCCTGGTTGCCTTCTGGATCAGACATTCCTCACGAATCCTTATACTTTATACTGAAATCCGTTGTTTCACTTCCACTACAATTTAATTATGAACATTTTCCAAATATATCAAATTTAATTTTGTATTTCTTCTCCTTTCGGTTTTGAATGTATATCTGTATGTATATTATTATTCTTATTATTATTCTTATATTCAAAATGTCTTACATTGTTGGTTTTCTTACTTTATATTTGTATTACACTTTGTATTAATATTATACCACTGTGTTGTTATATCACTTGTCACTGCCAATAAAAATAAATAAAATGTATTTAAGTATGTTTAGGCTCTGGCATTATAGTAAACCACATTTTAAATGTCACATTTTGCCCTGTTTAGATTCACAGGATGGGGAAACTGTTTAGGAGTGAAGACAAACAGCCAACTCACAGAGGTGCTGGATTAAAACTGTGTTGTTGTTTTTTTTTATACAATTCAACAATGTATTCCGAGTACATTTAAATTAAATTATGAACAGTCTATTTACATTCAAAATAAATGTCAACAGACTTCAAAAAAGTTTTTTGCCATCTCTTAAAGATTATTAGTACTTCATATAATAATATTTAATAAACGTAGGCCATTAAAACTTTTCAGATAAGGGAATTGTAGCTAATTTATCCAAAAGCAGCTGAATGCATTTACTCCTGTACTTCTATTATATGTCATTACTTTATAATATGCTACTTTATAGCCTAATCCATTACAAGTGAAATGTGACATTATAGTATAGTACATTTTATTCAACTATAACACGTTATAGTTTATAAATAATGATGTTATGGATGAAATTGCCCAAAAATCAGCTCCAGTTTGACCACTTTCCATGTTACTTCTTCAGTAACTACCACGGTTGGGAGGATTACTTTTAAAATGTAATCTGATACAGCAACTAGTATCACGATATTAAAGGGACATAACTTGATTACTTTATGTTCCTTCTGGATATCCTCAACAGCAAATATGTAAATAAAAACAAGAGAAAATACATGTCAAAAAGTACTGATGCAAGTGTAACCGAACAATGACAACAGAATAATGTAATCTTAAAAAATTATGGAAATGGAAAAAATGGAAAAAAGAAAGACTGTTAGCATATAAAATGTGTCTTCTGCTCAGTGTATTTTAAAAGAAAAACTGATGTATTTTCTTTACTTAATGTAAAATAATGTGTGTGGATTACAGTTCTTTTGTTGTATCCTGATCACGTAACTTAATTACATGTTATTCATTACTCCCCAAGCAATAATAATAATAACTGAATGAATATAATAATATAAATGAATATAAAAAAATGTAAACCTCTGCAAAAGAAAAATTCAGCAAAAAAGCACTTTTACTTTTTATACTGTTGCCGCTAACATTTTGAATGTCGTGGATTATTCTTCATGTGTAGTTTTGGACTTGAACAGATTTGTGCTGATCCAACAGAAGCTGCGTCACAAGGATCCGGTCCCGAACTCTGGCTGAAGGTGATGGAACCCTGATGGAACCCTGATGGAACCCTGGCCGTTGGCAGCGCAGTCAGTGTCGGGTGAAACGTCTCAACAGCTCCAACGGTTCGGAACTTCCAACGGTTCTGAGAACAGCAGGCGGTCATCTTTGGCGATCCCGGTACGGTTCTCACGGTGTTTGTTCTTGATGTAGCATGGCCCAGAACATCAATGGCGATACAGAAATAATGTTATGCAGCCTTGACTAACATTATTGTGCAAAAAAAGAATAATTTCAAATACAGAGGGTTCATTGGTGAGCTAACGTCCGCCTGATGCTAGCTGACTATCAGTGGCTAACTTAATGCTATTATTAGCATTGTCGGGGTTTATAACTTGAGTGCAGCCGGCGGTTTACAGCTTTCTAAAGTTTAACACTGTCGTTAACTTTACAAGTTTTAAGAATTATTTTTGGGTTGACTTAATGGAGGTTTGTTATAGACTGAGAGTATGTTTTTTTTTGTTTGTTTTTTGTTGCTAACATTAATAACTCCCAACAATAGTTAACTTAATTTTAACATGAAAATGTGCACTATTAGCCTCATTAGCTAGCTAACGTTAGCATACTTCATAATTAACGTTACAACTGGTAGTAAGGGTGTGACGGTGGCTAACTGGTGACAGTTGGCGTTGTGTTCAGGGACTTTACCTCTCTTTTTCCAGTTCTAGAGACAAAAGCATGGATGTTGGTGGAAGCTCCCTCCCTGAATGCATCAACCCTAATAACTTTCCTGCCAAACTGTGGCGTTTGGTGAACAACCCGACAAATAAAGCCATCAGCTGGGACCGCGACGGCACGTTCATCATCATTGACCAACACCTGTTCGAGCGACAGATCCTCTCTCCTGGCACCATCTCCTCGGACAGCCCTGACGCCTTCAAGACCACCAACTTCTCCAGCTTCGTCCGTCAGCTCAACCTGTACGGCTTCCGCAAGGCCGACCCAGCTGTCACAGACACCTACCACTCCGCCGGGGACAGTGGGGCGTACCATTACTTCCACAACCCAAACTTCAAGAGGAATTACCCTGAACTTGTTGCAAGCCTGAGGAGACTCACTGTCGACAATAAAGCCAAGATACAAGCTGGTCTGAACGTGAACTGTCGGCCCCCGAGTCGATGGCAGCGATTGAGTGGAGGTGACATTGGCAAAGACAAATTTGGGAAAAGAGGCAAGAGCATGACTTCTTTCAGTGGGGATGTGTAAATAGTGTAACCCTACAGTTATAGTCACACACGTTTCTCTATAGTGTGTTAGTGAATAATACTTTAAAATTAAACTATTCTATAAACAACTCCCATTTTAAAATCACAATAAATCCTACATGTATCACCCCTCTTCATTCCAACCAAACTTTGCAGTTGATTGCACTTTTAATTCCACAATCCAGTGCTTTAATCCTGACACTCATTGTCTCACTGTTTGTTATCATGCTTTGCTTTTTCCTGTGTCTGCAGGCAGTTCTTCCCTGCTTAGCGCCGCACATCAGGAGTCGACTCATCCTTACCATTCAAGTAAAGCCCAGGCCATGACGGTGCACAATGGAACCCCAGTCCCACCACGATACCTGATAAGGGGTCATGGTGCAGCTCTTTCTCCTACTGTCTTTGCTACAGACAAAGGGATACCAGTATCCTTAAGCCACCACTACGCTGGAGTAGCCTCAAGCTCCAATGCTGTGCACGTTCCGCAGGGTTTACTGGCCCATGCAAACCCCGGTAATCAAAATTGTGCCACTTTTAATCCTCCTAATGCACAATATCAGCCTGGCTTCTACTCCACAGGTAAGCAAGACATTAGTTAACCTGTTAGGAATATGGATAAAAAGAGCTATAAACCACGGTTGTTACATCACTTTACTTAGAACCAGTGTGTAGGATTTAGTGACATGTAGTGGTGTAGCTGTAGATTGCAACTCCCTTGCTTCACCCTCCCCTTACTGCACAAAGGACAAACTATGGCGGCCACGAAAGATTCGAGAGGCTCTATCTAAAGCCAGTGTTTGTCCCTTCTGGGCTACAGTAGAAACAGCATGGTGCCTCTGGGCGCCCTGATGGCTCACATGGTGGAGCAGGTGCCCCATGTACCACGGCTCAGTCCTTGATGCATCGACCATTGGTTTAAGTCCAACCTGTGGCCGGCAAAAATATATTTTAAAAATTAAAAATAAAACATGGAAAGCAACCCGCTCCCCCTCTGTGTATAAAAACAACACAATTCTTATTTTCCAGTATATCCTCTTAAATGTTACACACTGAGCTGGATGAGTTTAAAACATTTTTACTTCTAGTGTACTAAATCGACTTCTAAAGATCTGTATGTTTATTGTTTGTTAAGATTGAATTCAGACTGTAGGTTTAACTCCAGTAGGAGCACAAACCAAACCCCTAAATTTTATCATCTAAAAAAGATCTCTTGTCCTTCTTGAAGTTTGCCATTGCTACCAGCCGAACCTTGTGGCGCCACATATGACATATAGTGGGCTTCAGACGGGGTTGTTCTCTCCTCAAGGCTATTACCAGGTAGGTGTATCGGTGTGTATTCATGTAATCATTAAATCTGTTTACAACCAATCTGTGAGGATACAGAAAGATGAGTATTTTTTTAATGCACTGTGTCTAAAACATATTTTCATGTTGTTTTAGGCAAGATATCCTGCCAATGTGTTGTGTCGTGGGGACCACATCCAGGACCCACAGAACAAGGACAACCAGGAAGTGAAAAAATGTGAAATTAACTTGGACACAATTTTCCAGATTGCAGATGAGGTGATGCAAACTCCGCCCAGTAGCTGTCTGGTTAGAGTTGTGAACCCAGAGAATCCAGGCCCAGTCTTAGTGCCTTCTTCCAACACCTGCAACACCATGCTGAGTGACAACGCTGCCAGCTCCATGCAAGCTGACCCTTTTTGCTCTGGACCCATTATAACGTCTGCATCAGGCAATGTTGATCTAGTCGCATACGGACAGCAGGAGCCGTCTGTGCTTTCAGTGCCTGAGCAAATGCCTGAAGATGCCATATTTGAGGTAAGTCTCTACACTGAAGTTTTCCTCAAGACATTCAGCTTTATCTTGTATTATTGTTTGCTGTGGTTTCCTCTGTGCCCGGCAAGGTTACCAGTGATGATGCAAAGGATACTAAGGTCAAAGGTGTCGAGGTTAGCGACGCTCTCTTGGATACCAGTCAGGCTTACAGCAGCAGCTGCAAAGACAATACCCCAGATATTTAGGTAAGACATTACTGATCATTTAGGGAGCACATTCAGAATAAAACTAGTGGAAGGAAAGGCATTTACCATTTGAATGTATGTTTACAGGTCATCACTGCAACAGCTTTATTGGCAGATGGTTATATTCCTCGATTAGATCTCAGCTTGTTGATTTGATTGGGATGTGACAGGGAGTCTGGATTCACTCCAGTATGTGATCTTAAGTTGTGACTGTAACCAGACTTTATTCTCCATTTGAATGATTCTTTGTTGTATAAACGTTTGTTGCTCAATTCTAATTTAAGTCTTGTTAAATGTACATTATATGCATTTTCATAGTAGTGTTTTTCCTTATTGTTAGTGACTCTGGACGATACATTAATTTGAGGAACACAAAGTCATATTTGATTTAAGTATTGGAATTGCTTGTACCATGGTACATTTGAAGAACATTTTAAAGACAGTTTTACCTCTACTTTTTAATACAGTATTATCTCAGATGTTTTTACCAACTTGTGATGTTTTTACAGAATTTGTAATGTTGTTTTTTCTAATTTAAAGTGTGATTTAAACAGATGTGCAGCATTAGGCCTACCTAAACTCAGCCTCTCCCCATTTTAAGAGTTTGTTTTTAATAGCATTCATGGTAGTGTTTGTCATAACAAACTGCTGTAATGGGGGAGAAAATATAAAATATTTGTATGAAATTATAATAATTTAATCTACTAGCGATTGATTGCTTTGTGGTGGTTGCATTTCCCCACCTTTTTATTTTTTTTTACTGCATAACCTCAAAAGTTGCAGTGTTTTGAGAACGTGTAACTAACATGTTTTTAAAGGCGTGTGTGTACAAATATTATCATTAAAATGAAATATATTTCCGTTGATGCAGTTGGATGGTGTGTTGATGTGTATTATATGATTTGTTGTTGACGCTGCAGCAGTGTACTGACGGTGTCTCCTGGCTGTGCAGGATGTTGTACACTAGAGGGAGCCACTCACTCGGCATTGATCAGCGCTGCTGCTCCGCCCTCAGCGTCCAACGTGGCCTTCAAGTGCCACTCGGACGTTCCTGTTACATTGTGTTTTTAAACTTTTTAATTACGCAACATTTAATTTTTTTGCGGTCAGAAATGACCCTGTAACAGACGTGGTATTTGACAGCTGTTTATTATTAAAGACAGCAATTTGACATCAGATTGCGGGAAAATAGAGAGAGTAAACACCTATTACGTTTCATTTAGACAGATGCGTTATAATAACGACTTAAAGCACCTGTAACTGCATTTGTTTATAGGTTTCTCCTTCCTCTAAACAAAAAATCCACTTTTCCCCTAACACATCTGCTCGGTCATATGCACAGTGTCTGGAAAAGCTCAATGTCCGACAGCACGGGAAGGCAGCAGGACAGTGAGCAGGTAGAGACTGTCAATGAGATCCCAGGGGAGCGAGAGACAGTCCGGGAGGTAGACTTTTGGGACGGTGTCATAACTGTACAAGGCGTCTCTCTACTTTATCAACTTTAAATGGAGACCACAAGGAGTTTGGACCACTTTTATTCCGTACTTTTTGTGGTGCTTCTGCTCTGTACTCGTTGATGATTCTGATAAACGATTCATTTTCCCTCGGTGTTCTCAGGAGGATCGTATGTTATTTCTCACAGTGCAGCGGAGGCACTGGATTCAGGGGGAAGCCTGTGTGTGGGGTTTCTTTTACAGCGAGTGGGTTTAAATGAACAGCGGCTGTAGAGAATAAGTTGATGGGTCTGCTATAATAACCAAGTTATAGTCTAAATGAAGTAAGCCATTTGCTTTAGTTAATAATTACATAAAGCGGTGTACTGAATTTAACAACTTCTTCGAGGATTATTTTTCGCAACTCGTTGGTTGTAAAGGTATTGGGCAACCTGTTGGCAGGGCACTATCTGTCAGCATGCCTTATAACTTTCCGGCGGCAACCTGTAACACCGCCTTTGAAGTTCAAGTCGTCTCTCTCCTGCGTTTTTTGTGGATTTATCCAGAAAATGTGGCGCCCACAGGATGTGCTGTCTTCTGATTCTGTTTGTCAACTGGTGTTTGATCGCATACTGTGATTGTAAGCTACAGTGACTGGCGCACACTGTAATATTAAGAGCATAGTGCTGATAACGGATGAAGATCGATACACTGTGTGCCAGGACCTGGCCGTCCGGGAGAGGATACAGCGGTTCAACTGTTAACACGTTACAAATGAGGACACTTGTTTATCTCATGAAGACCGATGCACACTTCAAGCTCTAACACATCACAGCGTGTCTTCATGGTGCTTTTGAGCAAACAATGTTTCTCCTCTCACATTAATGACACTGGATAAAAGTTCACTGGAGCGCACTTTGTCTCTGGAGAGAGGGCTTTTTGTGGAACGGAGCGCGTTTGGCTCCATGTGGGCACTGAGTGATATGCATTTCTATAACGTGCAGTTTGATTATTAACTCTGCTGCTGAATGGAAGTTTTGGGACATTCACGCATGAGATATGATGGCAGTCCTCCAGCTTTAAAAGTTTGGATTCTATCTGTTTCGCAGTAAGGTCGTCGAGGCTGAAAGCAGAAGTGGGACGTATATACGCATAAACACACGTTCTCCGTTTTGTCTATTCGCGGCGCTTGCCTGCTTTGAAGTCCACCATGTGCGGCCGGGCACCGCCGCTACAGCCGAGGCCATGACCGTCCCCCAGCGGCGCCTGGCCGGGCTCGGGCCGTGGCTGCTCATGGCGGCCCTGCAGGTGGTGCTGGGCCAGCCGGGCCTGGAGTCCGAGCGGCCGGCCCTCCGAGCGGTCATCAAGGTGGCACTGCTGAATCAGGAGCCCACGGGGAAGCCCATCACCCTGGAGGGGGTGTTCGTGGGAGGAAGTGCCGGCCACGCGGAGGGAAAACTAATGCAGGTAAGGTGTCATACAGGAGAATGTACATTGTGTGAGTGCGCCTTCCCATTCCCCATCATTCACCCCCACACATGCACTAATAGAGGAGTTATTTCACCACCTGTTGTTCTGCTGGGGCCCAAAGTTTCTACAGGGGCCCCTGCAAAGTGAACAGCGCCCTCAAAGCTGTTAGACGTTGTAATGCCTTGCTCAAAGGCACTGAAGCTATGAGAATAGGTGGGAATATTTGGTCTTTAACCTATGTGTTGTATTTGAAGGACAGTCCACCCTTTTGTGCAGTGATATATACTTACACTGACCCGTTTGTTTTATTATTGTAGATGTTCTACTGTACTGTCTGTACAAATGGACAGATGATTGAGACGCTCAGAAAAAATATTGAAGTTGGACTGGACTATCAGTGCTGGACAATGCCAGCAGGAGAGTAATAATTCAGCATTCAGAGCCCATACAGCTGAACGGGTCGCAGTGAAAAGCATTCATTTGAAAATCTGTTTTCAGAACACAGTCCTGCCTTTCAGTCCATCAATCCCTCCGTGGGGTGACTGGTGGCTCCGCATGTTTCTCTAACCTAAAAAACAGTTTACACAGCATCCACTGTCAGATAAACCAAATGATGTTAACACCTGTACTTGTTGCTATACACTGTCAAAATACTGTAGTGACCATGGGTTACAGTACGCTGTATGTTTCCAAGAGCCGCTCACAACACCACGCTTCCAACTCAGCACTCAGCATGTGATGACAGAATATCTAAATTCCTTTAACAATAGCGATGACATACAGGTGTTATTGAGGTTAGTTTGTTTTCAATCTATTTTTACTTTATCCATGAAAAACAGGGTTTGGTTGTGGTTGCTAGCCTTTGTAGGTGTATCTTTTCTAAGGTGACAGCTTTGTTTTGCAGTTACTATTTATGGCATCTAATGCTCTTCCAACAGTTTTAATATCAAGGTGTGGTTGAGGGCTGTTAAACAACACAGCAAATCATGTTTAGACCCATGCAAACCCATAATTTAAGCAAAAGTGTTTTTTTTTTTGGTACCATTTAGAAAGAAAGCATGCCGTTACCCTGCAAATGTAAAGTATGTGCTCTATTCATTGCGCATATTTAGGATTCAGGAGTGGATTAGGGTTCCAGGGCCGTAAAGCTTGCCTGTGTCAATTTATTTACCGTCTCCAAAGAAACGGGACGACACATGTGAGGCACTGCAGGATCTTGTCTCTTCTCACTCACCAGGCGTGGGAGGTTTTGTGAATGGCAAGCCAGATGCTGCAGTTAGCCATAATTGATAAAGATTTACTTGTCCACGGAGAAAGCCCAGTATTACGCACGGTGAAAAGCCATCGCTGTTTTCCTTCCCAGTTAAAACCGTTTGGCTTTATTGTCTGTGTGGGTTGTTGAAAACATCTTATGGATGCATATCACAGTGCGGCTGAGATCAAAGACACCTCCAGCTTTCTGGGATTTCCAGCTTTCTGTATTTTTTTCCCATAAAACCTTGCACGGTATTTTATAGTGTTCCATGGGACAAAATACAAATGTGCTGAGAGTAAATATATGAAAAGTTATGAACCACCTGGTCTCATCTCAGCAAAGAGCTTCAGCAACATACTGTGCTTTATATATTATATATATATTATATATATTAAGGTAGCAGGGTGACAGAGCCTGATCAAGAAGTGATATCTGCCCGGATATCCCTGAAGGTGTGAAGGATGGTGCAGCAGTGCCACATTCAAACTAATGTTTTTATCTGTTATAGTCAGAATGGTGAAAGCCTAATCCTCTGCTGATAACATCCCTGTTTATTCTCTCACTTTCTGCTGGTTAAAAAGTACATTTGGTTTGTCTGCTCTTGTGTTTTCTTGTTTCCATAAATCAGACCATTGATTGTGGTTCTGTCCACGACTTGGAAGGAATAGTTTTGTGAGACTCTCTCTTCCCAGGCTGTTCCAAAAGTGCACAGAGGTGGTATTATGCTGCAGGATGCTCTTTGTTGCAGCTTCGGCCTGTTCCAACAGGTCCTCGCTGCTTCTGCAGGCTGCTTTACGGTCCTGCTTTATGTTCTTGTCTTCTAGTGGATGGGGGGATGACGGCTGCAAAGGAGGTTGAGTTCCACAGATAGATCCTCTGCCTCACACTGTCTTTGTCCTTTTTCTGTCCAAGATTGCGCTCTCTCTGTGTTAAAACTGTTCAGGCTTAATGTCTTCTATGAAACTTAATTGCTGTCGTTCAGCTAGTGTATTACCCAAGATTTTACTCTGGAAGCATGAAGCATGACAATTACTTTTCATAAGCTACAGTTACTACTTGTCATTTTATTTTCCAATAACATTGGGGCCCCTCTGAGCCCTGGGTTGTCTTGCGGTCTGATTAGAATCATCTGATATCAAGGAAAGCAGCATCTAGCATTGGAAGAAGAAATCAAAGAAAAAAGAATGAAAGACAAAAATGTACAACAGCACAGCTGCATGTATTGTAGCTTTTTGGCAACAGTACGTTTTGTCGAGGTAGAACTGGACCTCTTTTAGAAGAGAGCACTTGGAACAGAAGAAGTTCCCAGTTTCCCTCAGTGTATTCGAGTCATAAGACTTTGCTTTGGTACGTATAAGGGCTGGGCAATAAATCGATTTTATCGATTTATTCGAATTCGTAGTTAAACACGATTTATTTTTAGTTAAAATCGGTGATTTGGTGATTGAACTTCCCCAACACCGGCGCTCCCTTTGGGCTCCCGTAGGTCAGAGTGCGCTGACCCCTCCCCCCGCCTCTCCACGGATAAACACAACATGGCAGCAAGCCAGGATGAGCTCGTCCCCAAAAAAGGCACAGTGTCGTCGGTTGTTTGGATCTGGTTTGGTTTTGTGGCGTCTGACAGCGAACAAACCATGACCCACTGCAAAGTTTGTTTGAAAGCTGTTGCAACCAAAGGTAGCAGTATGACCAATTTATTCCAGCACCTCAAGCAGAGGCATGCAGCTGAGTGGGAGAAATGTTGCTCTCTGCAAGATATACAGGGCCGCAGCCCACAAACACCCGCTAAAAAACAGTCTACAAAAAAAACGATTAAAATCGTAAATCAGGTTTGGTGTGAAAAAATCGGAGATTTTATTTTTAAGCCATATCGCCCAGCCCTAGTACGTATCTCCCTCTGATCTATTAAACTGTGATCTTCCTGGAAGTATGCCCTGTCCTCTGAATGAACACGTTCATTGGAACACTGGCTGGGGTCTGGCCAGCACTATTTGGACAAATACAAGTGCTGAGGAATTTTGACTCTCTCCCCCTTTGCAAAATGAAGCTTACATTGTGACCAGAGGAGAAGTGCAAAGGCTTCTGGGATGACTTTGAACTTGAGAGGATTGTCAACTGTCCTCTGGCCTCTGTTGAGAGAAGGAGTAGGAGTTTATCCTCCAATGGGCATTGTGCCCAATTAAGGACATCATAAAAGCTCCACCTATATTCGCTTAAAGCCATCTTGACTTTCTTTTCTTCCTTGTGTTGTATTTTTGGGTCTTTGTGCTTTCAAATGTTGAATTGACCTTTGAGAGCTCCCTTAAATACATCAGCTATAATTAAGGCAGGCCAGGCAATTGAGTGAACACCAGTTAACTCTGCACCACTTCACATTCTTTCGTCTCCCTTCTCAGTGTCCCACAAGGTACTGAATGCCTCCTCGTCTCTCCCTGAGCCCTCCACTGTCCTAGGCCGCTATCTGCACGTTTCCCCGGCTGGCCCTCGGCACGGCCGTTTGGGAACAAGGGATGGGAGGGCGGAGGGGGCGCTGAGGGAGAACATCAAAGTGTGTCCAGTTCCGAACGTGAGCTGGGATGATTAAAAACTGAGACTGTTTACACTGCACTTCCCATATGGGCCCTCTCCTCCCCCTCCCTCTAGATTTCCTGCCCATACTTCCTATCTCCCTGGATGAGATAACAGCCTGGACAGGGCTCCTCGGGGCTCCTCACTGCTTTACATTGTTGGAGGTGCTGCCGTGCATACTTTTGCTTTTGTATGTGATATACATAGCAATATGAATGGAAATATGCAATGCAATGTTGAAAAGGATGTCTCAGTAAAAAGGCTGTGTATAGGTATCAGTGTGGATGAAGTGCATTTTTACATCAAGTTTATATTTTCTTGCATAGAAACATCTAGTTATTTGCGTGGTAAAGAATAAGGAACAACCGCCAGGTATAAACTCACACAGATTCAGTCATAGAAGATCCTTATGTCTTTACAGTGAAGTAACAGTGAGAATAGCAGTAGTGGAAGAGGCCTGCTCTGCGAGCCTCAGTTCACATTCTCGGTGCTCATGTCTGGCATGCGTTAGCTCTGCCATGTCCACTGGTATGGACACCATATGAGACCTCAACATAAACAGCAGTAGAATCACGTCCCCATCTGTCCTATTTGGCCCTCGGGGACACTGGCACATACATAAAGGTATGAATGAAATCGCTATAAGCTCACAATTTCCCCCTGCTTTGCCACAACGGCTCTTAAGAAGAACGCTGACTTTTCTGTGATTAACTGCCGTTGGGGTAGAGTGGAAAGCCATTCAGGGACAACCTTTAAAGCCAGCATATAACATAAGAAACATGCTCGGCACTGTTGATGCAGAGATTATTCACATTCCTTTATGTGGCCAGCTTACACAGAACGACGTGTTTGTTCGTTTGTATTTCCATATGGTCGTCTGTTCAGCTATTGCTTTTCTATCATCTCCTCCCTCCAGTGATCCGAGACTACAATTCCATGTTGCCTCTGGCTCTTGCCTTGAACAGACCCCCCCTCCCCCCCACGTGTGTCCAACCTATCAGACAAGCTCTGGACTAATGGTTTCTCCTGAGCAGGGATCTGACAAAGCTGCAGCCTGCAGCACAGGAAGCAGGGGCTAGTGTTGTCCTGTCCACCCTCTTCCACAAGAGATGGCTGTCGAGATGTTTCCTAGGGCACAGGGAAGAAGGGAGAGGCAGGTAGGGGAAACATGGCA